TAACAGACAAGTCACCATGACTTACTTTCCTGTTTGCATCCAAGACACTCTGTCCCTTCTTTGACCCAGGCATTGTTGAACTTGACCCAATTCCAAAAAAGTTCCAGATATTGCTTGTTCAAAGAGGACTTGACCGGCACCAGGAAAGATGAACGCTGACTATCCAAACTTTCACCAACTGTCTGAATCTGCCAGAATCTGTTTCTACCGTCAGAAACTGTCAGCCACGTCTCGTAAACCGTCAATGCCCAGCTCTTGCTACGCTCGGGCTCACGCTGTCGCTTGAAGTTTCTCAGAAACTCTTAGTACGAACGGACGCAAAAACCAAAACACCGATTGGCCACTCGAGAATTATTTATTGTAACACCAACATATAAATGACGTATGACTAAGGTCTGTGAACAAATATTACAATAATAAATCACAATATTACTTCTGACGGCTTACTGCTGACTTCTTTCTGAACAGCGACCGATGAGACGATGACTGTCGTATTGATGCCTCCGCGAAAATTGGGGAAGTTGGTTTTGAGCAAACAACCATGAATTGATCGTTCAATCTTCAACTGCATTGACAGTAAGTGTTACTTATGCTTATTATTGCTTAATGTACTAGATCCAAATACATTAACTAGGACTGCCCGTAATAGAGCCAGTGTTAACATGCATTCGATGTGTTGCAAAACGGTTTCCAAAGCGGATAAAATACGATGATCTGGTGAGTGTACGAACAATCCCAGTTAATGGTAAGACACTAATTAGGAAGAATAACGTTTGGGGTTGTGATTTACGATCGGTGGTTTCCTCGAAGTTTTGATTTTTCCGTGACCATAAACACGGATGTCCATGATCTTTAGAAAAAACTCTAAATAAATTTTCCTTGAACCAGTAGTTTTCTTTTCTTTGGCAAGACATCCGTTGGTACGATTATACGATTAGGTAGTGAAGTAGGATGTTCTGTGACTGAGAATCGTGGTTGTTGTGTTTGCGACTAATTTAGCGCATCAGACTGTTATAACCGCATGGATATAGTGTTTTCCTTATGGTATATTATGATATCTATAAAATTTTTACTTGTTAAATGACTGCAAATAATGAGTCATTTCAGGTGATAGGATGAATACCTCTGAACAAATTGTGGAGACTAGGTGTCAATGTAGTTGAAGATTGAACGATCAATTCGTGGTTGTTTGCTCGAACCCAACTTCCCTATATTTTCGTGGAGGCATCAATCAGCCAGTCTTCGTCTCATCGGTCGCTGTTCAGAAAGGGTATATATAATTTTTTCGAGTAAAGGACGATCTTTTTACCAAGAAAGTTCACAGAATTTCCACTTTTACTTCGTTATTCGAAGATAACGTTAAGTTGCCCACTAAGGTAGTAGCTATAGGAGATTACCTTCAGTGGGAAATATATTAAGGTAGCTTTAGGTAATGCGTCATAGAAGTAAGCAGCGTAGGTTAATGGTGTCTAAGTATATTAAATGTTGTATAACTGGTGAAATCGTAATTCTAATTTACGAGTTAGTTTTATAAATAATGAATGTACCATACAAGCATTGATTTGCATACCTAGCTCATAAACATCATGCCTGCATGTGGCATGCATTTAGGGCAAATATGCTGTGGTGAATTAGTCCGAGATACCCGAAGTCAGACTTGATTTTTATATCACTATCGTCAATTTCGCAACGGTCATAGAAATTAACACCTTAACCTAACTTTCTTTTACATCGGAAACTGAAATTAAGTCTGATTTCGAAGGATTTAGTTTAAGAGCATTTTCTGTCTCCTAATAGAGAGCTGTTCATCTTAGTACAATGTAGCTGGGAGTTAACAGACACTGAAACAGCTAGATCGTCCGCGTACTTGAAAAAGTTCATTTCGTATGCATTCGTACATCAAGTTCGTCGAACAAAAATACAACTGGTAATGGATGACTTCCCTCAGACCTAGAGTGTACTGCTTTCTCTCTGATAAATAAGAATGAAGCCATCTAACAATCCAACACTCAGTTTGAGTTTCAGCAAGCTTATTTAACAGAATACCTCTAGTTACTGGGTCGAAAGCAGGTGTGTAATCTAGGAAGGTGCAGCGAATTTAGCCCCATTGCCTATATTGGAGAAAATATTGTGATGCAAGACTGCAGCTGCATATTAAGTACTTCTACTGTGTTTATAGGAGAATTTTTTGGGATCGTTAAAGGCTCTAAGTGAGGGTTGAAGATTAAGTAAAATTAACTTTTCCTTAGTTCGTATATATGTCATTTGATTTTAAACAAAGGAAGCAAGTCTTATTAACACTTGTAACACTAGAAAGTTTGGCATTTATGGGAGAATTTATGGAAGAATTGTTTAGTGTGCGCACACCAAATGAATAGGGAATAATGGAGGTAATTAGATGCATAAAGGCGTAGATTATTTAATATCTATAAAGTAGACATGCAAATACCGCAGTTGTTGATCATAGAAATGATGGATATTAGATAACATCCTATGATTCAACGGCATATCAGAAATAAATAAAAATTGTTTCTTAGCTCTTCGTCAAGTTAACAGTTCATTTGATGATGTCACTGCATATTGGTAGATCAGTGAAGTAGCTATCAAGCCTAAGTTACAACATTTACATTTAGTACATACTTGGCGTTTAACAGTATACACACTTACAATTGGCTTGATAAGGCAACTTTAGAGTATCGAACAGTACAGAATTATTATTATTCAACTTGCTAAATCTCATTTCGCATTTACAGTGTGCTATTGTGTGGGAACAGAAACGAAATCCTATTAATGACTGAAGTAACAGTCTCATAATATTATGGTAAATCTTCGTCACACTGACTAAGCTTAGCGTTTATTATTCCCAATTCACTTATTACAAAAGCACATAGTATAGCAAGGAATTGAAAAAGTCTACAGGAAGAAGAAATCAAGAGTTTACTAAACATTTGATTAATTTACAAAAAAAAATTCTGACGAAGGGTAATAACGTTAGCCTGACCGAATGATGTTTCCGCTGATTTCATTTTCGACAACCTCCGTTTACCTGGAAAAAATAAAGTACGTGTAGGAACTAGCATAACATAAAGTTAACAAGAGATAATTCTACATATTAGCATATACTATGAATACACTGATTCTGTTAACACTGAGTAGTATCTCATGCAGATAAATGTATTTGTAGTCTGCAGCTGATTTTTATGTTGACGCCGTATACATAAATAGACATCATATGTTTTCCAGTATTAGAGGATTGTACGCAAATTTCAAGAAAATCTCCGAAACATCCATACTATTGAGGCGTCATTTTCTCATCAAGCTTACTTGCAGATCAACTTCACACTAAATACTTTTACATGAAATGAAGTATTGCAAATGCTTAACTTAGACATTAATCCACAATCTCAGTAATGTCTAGTCCACAAGGTTCTGCGAATCCTACAAAAATCACATTCTTACATTTAGGAGACTATAGCCGTTAAATATAAGCTGAACATGCCTCAACTCTAAACAGCTATGCACAGTGTTAACAACATAGGGAAACAATTAAACTATTGTAAAATACACAGACCTGTTGTGCTGATGAGGATAACAATGTCATATAATGCAACCTAGACATTCAATCGTGAAACCGCATCTGTACTGCTTTGTATAAGTTGAAATCTCAGGAGAAATTAATCTCCACTATTTGTGATCACAAATATTGCAGCATTAAGTATACACTATCAGTGGAAATTGTATAACAGACAATAGATTCATAATAATGATAATAAAGCTGAATAGATTCAGTTCTCATAATCACCACGACTCATGCGTACAATACCGTGTAATGATTTAGTGCATTAATTGGAACAGCAAGGAAATTTAAACGAGTAATTGCCTTCTCTACTGCATCGTACTTACAATAATCGTGACAACCACCTCCGTTTGTTATCCTATCAGTCAGCTAAGTAGACAACGGCGCAATATTATTAAAGCTGAGATATTTTTGTACATTGGATTCACATAACCCATATTGCGCTGCAACAATCAGTGCAAATATTTATTAAATCCACTTAGAGATAACTTTTCAGCTTACGATAATTCCTCTCACACCACAGATAAATTGAAAAGCACATCTAAATGATAACTTTGGTTCCCACAGACGATTCCGATAGCATTTAGAGGTGATTTCCAAGTACTGAGGGTATTATTTTGTGAAAAAAGACTGTTCCTTACACGAAAATAGGCTGAGTAAATATCCTGAGATATGAAGTCTTTATTGAATGATACCATGCCGAAAGGTGCAGCTTCTACATGGAGTAAACGATCTGTGTAAATGGCGTTACCCTCCAACTATCCTATCTTCCCCATTACACCGATATTGTGATACAGTCCACCTGAAACACTAATTATTGCAACCAATATGCTATGAGTGTGTCGCATTCAGATCACATGACGCGGACACCAAGATAAATTGCCAAAAAATGGGAATTTGCATCAATCTAGATAACATACAACACAATTTCATTAAAAATTATTGGCAAAAGAAATTTCCAAGCGGAATTTTAATATTGCGTGATAAATAAGTCCAGCCCTTGGTCGCCATTGGTGGGCAACTCGAAGGCGCGAATGGTTTAATCGTTTACAGGTTCGAAGAAGACGAAAGAAAAGGAATAAAAATACTTCATATATTATTTAAAACATTAGTTTGCAGACTATGTACTAACCCTCGATTTTAATCGCCAAAAAATACAACTTCCTCCCTACAACCACTGGTGCTTCGGAGCTAAAGTCGAGAATCAGTCGTAGTATTTATCGGTTCGGGGCGTCTTCGTAACAATAGGAACTTTGGATTAAGTTCCTTGACAGTTTCTATTCATCTGTTCGTTTTCTGGAGCACCTTATGGAACTTCCGGGATTAATTGCAGCCAGCTTCTCTTTGGACACGGGTTATCAACGCAATTCAGATTCTTTGGTGACGTTAGATAATGCCTGGGCCAAAGAAGGGACGTGTCACCATGGAAGCAGATAGAAAAGTAACTAACGATGAGTTGCATGTTAATTTTAACGATATGCATGATGCTCAGAATGATGAGTCTGATGTTCACGCTTTGCCGTTTAGTGATAGTAGTACGTTAAGACTCCGCAAGTTTGAACCTCGGTACTTTGATGGAAACCCAGCCGACTATCCACAGTTTATCAAAGAGTTTGAGGTCATGTTGAGTGGTTTTGTATTAAATGACGAAATGAAGTTAATGTATTTGTTGAGATATTGCACTGGTGTTGCTCCGAGAGCCACATAGTGCTGCAAGTTTTTGCCCCCAAACGAAGGATATACAGAGGCCATGAGGGTATTACGTCGAAGGTTTCGAAGGCCATTTATGATATCCCGTAGTATTTTTGAGGCCGTTAAAGGTAACGGGGCACAGTTAAGTGACAACTCCGAGGAAGTTGAAGTTCTTGGAAAATTTAATGGTACACAGAGAAGCTGTCGTTTATTCTAACGATATAGATGAGTTGAACTCAAGTTCTGCGATTGAGACAGTTGCCAAGAGATTACCGGTTCGTCTAAAAAAGTTCATAAAGTTCTATTCTCGTGTAGAGGGGGAGGGTTAAGAGCCCGAGTTGGTAAACGTCAGTCTCAACCAAGCTTTGGGCAAGTTTGCCAGTATGTTTCATCCCACCCCTAGAAAAGGTAATGGTAGTCAATTACGAGATGACTCCACGGCACTCTCTGAGATTTTGGATAACCTGATGTCTTACAAGAATACGTTGATTTCGATGAATTGCATGAGCGATCTGAACTCATGTTCAGTCCTAGAGGTAATAGTCAGACGCCTAACTACTCGACTGCAAAGGAAATGGGTGAAGATAAGCTCTCGTATAGAGGATGAAGGTATTGAGTCAAAGTTTGATGATATCCTGAAACTAGTAAAAGATAGTGTCAATCAAGCTATGGGCGAGTTTGACAGTATTTTGCATCCCACCCCTAGAATAGAGAAGTCTGAGAGCAAAACGCAATTATTTATGACGAAAGTGTCTCAGAGAAGTGGATACCGAGAAAGCTTTATGGTGTCTAGTAATCCAGATGAACTTAGTGAGTGTAACAGGTTTCGTGGGACATCGCCAACAGATAGGTTAAAAGTTGCGAGGCAAACTATAATTGTGTTTTACACGCTTGCAAGAAGTGCAAACAAAGGTGAACTCTGAATCAGTGACCAAGTTTAGCGGTAAGCTAAATGTGAAATCAAGGTCTGACTCCGAATTGTGTGACGATAACGGTGCGGTGAAGAAGTCTGTAGTTGCAACTTGTAAGCCATTGTTGAATAGAGTGTCACAGACGACACCAGAGTTTGTGCAGAAGAAGAGAGTCCAGTTTTGACTCCACAAGTTTTCAAGGTATTACTAGTCAGAGCGAAGGTATAGAACCTTTGAGGATTTGTGAGAAAGAACCCAAATTGTCTACTGCTGTTGTTAAAGAGTTTACAAATGATGAAGTTGATCATACAAACGAGGGTAAGGTGAACATTTTTGATAATGATCATGGTAGTGCAGATTTGTCTTTGGTTGATCATGATGAGATGAGCGGAATGCCTACCACTACTGAGTTGAATAAAAGTTCTGTACGCCTTGAACGTGGAGTAGAATTAAGAGCAGATGCAGTGGTAGAATGTATGGATACTCATGAGACCGTCAGTGTAAATGATCAGCGTGTAGCCCACCTATCGACAGATGTTAAGGGTGAACAGGAGCTAATAATAAAAGATAGCAGTGATGGTAATCTTGCAGTTAGACAAACTTATAAAAGCCGAACTACAACAGCTTCTGATGCACCGCTAAGTTCATCAACTTGTGTCACTCAGTCGTCATCGGTGTTGTCATCAACAGTGAAAGGGATGTCCATGAATTCACGTGTCTTATGCTATGACTATGATAGTATCAGCCCGTTTGAAAGGATGAAAGTTAATGGTCACTTTAATGAGGATAAGCGAACTGTGTATTAGAGGGTAATCGTTAAACTGACTTGCACGAATAAAGGCCTTTCAAGTTTCAAGTTACCATTTGAATGTTATTATCTTTGATGAAAATTGCCCTGTGCCTACGCTTGGTTAGTCAGATACGTTGCATGTTTGTTAGTCATCTACATTCCACGATACAATGACAAAGGCGTGCTACCGTTCAGATTCGAGGATATAGATGATAGAAGGAGGTCACCAAATGAACTCTTCGACGATTTTCCAACCTAGGGAGTCAATCTGAGAAGGATTGTAGGCGTACTGCTGTAAGACCTACAGTCCTTCAAGGGTAGTTCGTCAAGGCAGAATCCATGACATTTGATACACTGATTGTACATGTATTTGTGTGAATAATAATAATACATTCTCATTTCGTACATGAGGGTCGCCAGTTTACAGGCATCATGAATATGATAAATTACATATACGATGAGCAATCATACTTAATAATAATGCTTTAATAAAATACATTTTTTTCCTACCTGTGTAGGACACATCAAATGTACAGGCATGGATAAGCATTATTTAAATTTCGCAAATTTGGTTTATAGTTAAATTACATGGTTGCTGACGTTTCTGTCTTTGGTTTGTGGGAACAAAATGATAACTAGTCATTTACTGGAGCACATCAAGAAATATAGGAATATTGACTTCGCATTAACAAAAAAACCCAAGTGTGTTCTGGGTGGTTTACAAATACTTGGGAAAAATAAAGCTTGAATGAATTCCCCAATATAACTTGGGTGTGAATAAAACCGAATCTTATTCTTGATTTTTATCCAAATTCGCTAATAATTAAAATAAGTGACACACTTGTACAGTTTTGTCGGCATTTTCATCGTAACATCACGAGTGAATTGCACTCAGTGTAGAATAGTGACAGTATATATTTTCGTATACATGGGTGTTTCCAAGAAAAGAAAGCTATTTTTACAAATACGATCAGTTATGTTATAAGTTACAATCGTGACGTTGTATTACAAATTGATACTTTTCCATTGGTATAAGAGTATATTCCACAAATGTAATCCAGGTTGCGTCGTGGGGAAAGTTAATTCGTTATTAACCAGGCAACTGAAAGATACGGGACCAATAATGTTTGCAGATCATTTGTCATTGTAAATGGTCAAATATCCACATTATTCATTCTCATTCAAAAAGTCAAATGGAAGCTGAAATGGTGAGAGAAAAAAGAAGACAAACAACAGCAACGCAAAAGAAAGCAACGGGAGTCCTTAAGGAGTGATTAATAAATATACATATATATTCTGTTTAGTAACTGTGGTTATTTTTTGCACTAACTAGTCCCGTTATGCTAACTTTTATATTATGTGTGAACTAATATTACTGTCCTGTGTAGAAATGTTTATCATCTAGTTCCAATAATATTAAAATTTATAATTGTAGTTTGTTGTAACTACACGTTTAAAGAACTTAAAATATCTATGTAGGGTGAAAAAGAAGGTGTAAGAGTCAGACGTAGAAGTGCATTGTCATCTTTGAGCAGTCTGGTGACTGAGGAGATGAACACTGGAAGTGTGTTTGCATCGCGCACATTAGCTGGTAGTCTATTCCAAATGACTGAAAACTTATTTAAGAAGAAGTTGTACCGCACGTAAGTCTGACAGTGCCCTATAGCAGCTAGGTTGTGATGATTTCTAAGATTGTAACTGATGACAGCGGTAGGTTTAGTTATTGGCTCGGAGGAATGCAAGAGAAGATTAGTTAGCTTGTAGTAAAAGATAAGGTTTAGCTTAAGGCGTCTTTTCCAGAGGGTTCTAATCTTAGTCTTCGCATCGCTCATGGTATTCCAGACCACTTTCTAAACCAAGAGTTCTTGAGGTAAACTGCCGTTGCACTCCCTCTAATTTAAGCTTGTCATTTTGTCTGAGTCCGCTAAGAATAAACGGGCAGTATTCTAAGATAGGTCGGACACATACTTTGTATAATAAAACCCTAGTTTCACAACAAAAGAAATTGCGTGTTATGCATCCTATCAGCCTTCGCGTTTTACGTCTGGCATAATCAGTCTGTTCAGCGAACGTTAGGTTACTAGAGTATCTAATACCGAGATCTACGACTGAGTTGAGCTTAGCTAGTTTTCGCCCATTTATTTCAAGAGTTAGATCAAGGTTACTGTTGCCGATACAAATCCAGCCGCATTTGTCAATGTTAAAATTTAGACAGGATTCAGCACACCACGTTGCGAGACTACTTAGTTCAAGATGTATTTTAGTAACCATATCGCTTAATTCATGAGTGTAGCAGGAGTAGACGACTTTGAGGTCGTCAGCATATAGGAATGGTTTACCTGAGGTGAAGCACTTGCAAATGCTGTTAATGTAGACTGTGAATAAAAGTGGACCTAGGACACTACCTTGCACGACCCCACTTGAGATCTGCCTAGGATGAGACAATACAGATCCAACTTTGGTTATTTGTACCCTGTTGCTTAGAAATGATTTTAACCAGTTCAGTAATGGGTTGCGAATTCCACAAGAGTACAGCTTCTCAAAGAGAATACTGTGAGATACCATGTCAAATGCCCTAGATATATCGAAGTAGAGAACAACGACTAGCTTACGTGCTTCGCGACTACTAGTGATGCAGTTGAAAAAGTCGAAGTGGCAAGTAACGCAGGATCTATTTTTGAGAAATCCGTGTTGAGACCTTGTAACAAGATCTTCCCTAATTAGGTAGTCTGACAATTGATCTTTACAACTTTCTCCATGATTCGTGAGATAACTGGGGTTATATTTATGGGTCTGTAATTGCGGACGTTTGCCCTATCACCAGATTTGTAATGTGGAATTATGAAGCTAGTTTTCCACTCACTAGGGTAAGTGCCAGTGTCCATAGATATTGAGAAGAATTTAAGAAGTAACAGGGGTATATCACACCCACTGTTTTTGAAAATTATCGAAGCGAGGCCATCCGGTCCCGTACTAGTGGAAGGTTTAAGGCTTTTAATTGCTTGTACTATTAACTGATTAGTGAACACAATGCTTTCAAGGGAAGAGCTAGTAAGGGGGCGGTTTCACCAGGCATATGTGTTTCTAAACTAAAGTTTGCAAACCAATCACTGAAAGTTCACAGATAGTGGCAGGTTCATTGTAGATTACTTTGTCGTGAAGTAAGTAGGGGATTTCCCTCGCCGACTGCATTCGTTTTTTAAGAAGTGCCGTTAAGTTATAAACTTTGGAGGTACTTTCAAGTGCCGTTAACTCTTCGTCGAGGTCCTTTTGAGAGCGTAGGCGCTTGAAGATTCAAGAGACTCGTGGATTGAGAGCAGCAGTGATATATCCTTAGTGGAATAGTACTGTTTCTTCAGCTTCCTTAACTTATTGCGGTGTGCCATGGGGATATATTCAGTTCGGTATCTGAAGGTTTGTAACACGTTTGTGTGGTACACGTTGTACAGCAGAACAATAATCTTATGGTTCTTCAACAATTTCTTATTGATGCAATTCCATTTGATTTTGTTTTGGAGTTTGGTTGAAGACCGCAAATCCATCTTTTCAGGAAGTTATTCATACGGTGGTTAGCTGAGATTGGATTAGGTCTAACGAATGGTGCTCGCTTCATTATCCATATGCCAGGATGTTTCCTTCGTTGTTAAATGTCTCTTTTGATGATGGGCTAATAGGCTATATCCTTCCATTAAGTCTATATCGAGGACTGTTAGATCTAATTCAGGAACAGTGAAAACCCATGGAAGCTGCTACTTAAACTGGAGGCCAAATGCCAGTGTCTTCTGTCCGAACGCTGCTGTCTGGGTTCCGGTGGTTGCTTGTAGCGTGACGGGTCGCTTCCGTCTACCTACCTGCCCTTAGATTTGGCATGGCACTAAGTGCAGCTCCTGCATTAACCAAGAATCCTTTTGCCAGGAGCATGGTTGTGTCCATTTTGTTGACTGTGATCCGGACCCCTAGCGACACCAACAGAAATGATCTGACGATTTAGTTTACCTGGGCCTACTCTTAAGTCGGAACGTGTTCTACCCGGTGATAAACATCTTCTACCCTGTTTTAGCTGTAGTTTTGGTAGCTGTTACACCTACGATCCAACGCTGACTACCATTTCTGGGTCTATCGGTCACTTGCTCGAACTCGCATGGCTCACCTGCCTTTCCGTAAGTAACCTTGTCACTCAAGTCTCATAAACCGTCAGTGTACAGCTCTTGCTACGCCGGGTCTCACGCTGTCCCTCAAAGATTTTCAGAAACGCTTAGTATTAACCGATGCAAAAACCAAAACACCGTTTGGCGACTCAAGAATCCTTTATTCTAACGCCAATATATAACCAACAATGCAGTTATTACAGAGGAAGGTCTAAGAACAAATGTTACAACAGTAAATCACGATATTACTTATGATAGTTTTTTAATTTTCCCTCTGAACAGCGACCGATGAGACGATGACCGATGGATCGATGACTCCCGCGAAGAATATGGGGAAGTTGGGTTTGAGTAAGCAACCATGAATTGATCGTTCGATCTTCAACTACATTGACACGTCTCGTCTCCAATATAGGGTCAGCAGTGCGTGTCGACTGTTCAAAGGATGACTCAGGATCCTGTGCGCCACTGTTTGTTGAACATACTTTGGGGTGAGGGCTTGCTTCCAACTTTGCTTCAGTTAAGTCTCTCCCACGGTGTTCTCCCTAAAATGCCACTTCAGTTAATAATAATGTGTATTCTCATATAAACATATAAATTTACATGAAAATGCATGCCATTTTTATAGGCACGATCAAGTATGATATAATGTCCAATCGTAGAATGTCTACAAGTTAACTATGTTTCAACAGTTAAATATTTGATATATATATATATATATATATAAATACACTGATTTTCTGAACCAGGTGGCGAGCGAACTGTGATGGGGATCTATTTCCTATGTCCTCCCCTTGAAATAACCGTTGTATTGCTGGTTTTCCGACAGGGAAAGGTTTTTGATCCCCTCTCGCTTAAGAACTATGTACGGATGCTCGTTGGGGATTGTGAAGCCCAAGGCCATGCATTTCCCTGCTAATCTGATAAGGTAACTAGGATCACCAGTCCCAATACCTGTGGATTTCAGAATTTACGCTGAAGCTTTCAAAGTAGTGCTCTGGTTGAAAAAGTCATAGTTCCGGGTCATGTTGATCAAATTTAGTTAAAGTAACTTTGGAAGTTACTAAAGAATCCCCCTCACCAGAGGCAAGGTTTGGTTAATGACACATTATAATGAATAAGCTTCTCGACCACATAGTGTATACCCCTGCTAGTTATACGCAGTTCTCAGAAGACACTGGATATAACGTTAGACATACTAAATGTACAGTGGCTAAAGAACCATGTAAAACAGCCACCAGGCAAAAGTCTTTCTTGATTAGGTATGCCCAAATATGGAACAGACTACCTGAGGGAATGTGACTAGCAAGCACATTGGCCTCCTTTGAAAAGGCACTTAATGACACACTAAGTGAGTTTGCAAGCGATACCAGTGCCAATTCCCATGTAAGATTTTCACAAATCATAGGCCCATTTAATGTATGAACTTAGGGACTACACCTGTTGTTTGTTTTGCTTCTATTTATAATTTCAGACAAAAAAGCAGCAGTCGTGACAATAACACCCATTCAAATAAGAGTCGATCGAACTATGTCTACATGATACAAAGGGTGAACCATAACCAACATACGAATGAAATATGAGAAAACAAGATCGAAACTTACCGCAACACCACATGGAAAGATATAAGTTACTTGGACATCGTGTATAATCCACCAACTGGTCTCCTTTCCAAAACGAACGCGGCGATGTTTTATCCACAGTGGCGAGGAAATACATAAACCCACAGCTGCTATTGTAAACAATCAGTGGAGGTAGGAGCCAGGAAAGTAATGCATTGAAAGCATATGTGTACTCCTCGTGATCACGGCGACACTCTGCGGAATATGTCGAAATCCAAGTCACTACCTATACGGCGCTTATAAACCTGGATATCTATGAAATCACGAACATATGCTGATAGCTGCATCTCAGATCACACTGATTCATTCGGTGGTAATATTCTGCTTCTGCATGCCTTATTCGACATTTTTGTGAATTGATTCGCGGTCGTTCTGGTTCAAGATCGAGAAGAATAAAAAATTCACCGGTTTCTGATTCAATAGTACTTCTCTGCATGTTTAACTGCATTCTAACTGCTGTGGTGAGCCTTCTGCAGATTATGTTACTTAAAACATCGTTTACGGTAAACTAAGTAACGTTTTATAAGCCATTTTTACACTTTTGTGAGTAGCCCACCATGTCGACCAAATGTAACGCAACACTCAGTTGTTACGCGCATTTTCGACAAATCCAAACAATAATGGTGCCGAGGACTATATCATATAAATTCTTTGAACTTATGCAAAGTGTGCTTACTGTCATTATTCCATTTTCCTCCCCTGTATATATATCTTGTGTCAGTGAAAAATTTTAAACATGCTTACTCCATGTGTACATTATTATCATATTGATGGTGCCTCTCAACTGTAAACTGGCGTCCATTATTTACAAATGCGAGAATATGTTTTATTATTTATATAAAGTTTGAGGCAAATAACACATATGAGCTAAGGTAAATCTGGAAAACAACCGAACGCAAAGCGTATGCACACACTGCATCAACTTTCGGCATATAGAAGGCATCATAATAAGAAACTGGCTTACAAATCTTGAAACTGTCTTTTCTACCAAAAGATTTTCCCAAATTACCGACTGACAACTTGAAATATTGTAGAAAACTGATGATGTTTATTAACCTTTATTTTCGAAAGCACGGCAGAGGGTAATTGGAGCGGGGGACACCCAGTCAAACCAACGAGTGGGCGTCCGTCACCCACCCAGCTATGAGAACGACAAGGAAGATATAGATCCCCCTTAGTTGCCCGTTCTAGCCGGCTGGAATTCCCACTTACTTACTACGTCTGAGTGGCCGTAGTATACAGTGTTTTAGAAGCCCTAGAGGTTATTAGATGTTCCTGATCTGTAAGGAGATGGAGGCTGGACATATGGCAGACTATACCCCGCCGTTAAAACAGCACTACTCCCAGTGCAACTGAAATTTCAGCAGAGGACAAAATACAAAATCAAATATATTCTTCCCTGGAATGGAGCTAATGAAATAGTGCTTGCTGGTAAAGTAATTTAGGAATCCTTACAGCCAATGTCTTCTTTCGATAGAAACAAAAGTATGCATAGGGACACGCAATGTCCTCATAAGGTCTGAGAATGACAAGTCTGCTTAGATCTCCAAAGAAATGGGAGGATATGGTTAAGAAATAGGCCGGATCTGTGGAGTAAATGGATCCTAAAAATAATTAAATGGAGAGATAGCAATGTACTGCAGTCATTCAAATGGGAGCCACTTCCTATTATGGTATGATTGATAGAATCAAAGGCTCTTGTGCAGCGAGAGCTTATCCACTCCAGGATAGTGGCAGCAAGATCCACTCCAAAAGAAGAAGGGTTGCCTTCGCATGATGCTATGCTCCTGCTGAATATGCAGGTCGAGAGAGGGAGGACTTCCATGAAATGTTAAGCGCCATAGGTAATGGAAAATACCCTCAGAAAGGAGGCGACATCGAAATCGTAATGAGTGAATACGAATACCAAACTAGAAGAAAAGAACTCACCGACAGGAGCTCAATAAAATAAATAAGAACTTTGGTCCTTTCTCAGATATCTGCGTATTTAATAAGTTGGTGATTCGAGGAGGCGTTCACGACCATAGGAATTTTATAAGGCAACATGAGTGTTACTAGTTAGGATGGGTGGAATATATTTTGATGGCCATGATGTCATTGAAAGCTGAGAAAACAGCAGGACTGGAAGAAAGGTGACCTTGCCAAAATACCAAAAACGGCCTAAGGATGTGAGAAAACAGATGAGAAATCATGGCCCCGTCCACGGCATCCGTTTGGAGAGATTGAAGGATTCTTTAATGGTAAACTTTGCCCAAGACTGACCGCACTCAGGAAAGGCAGGCTATACATAAATGAGGTTGCAGCACTACATTTCATTATTGGTGGAGCAGTTAACTTATTTCCATAGGCCTTGCGAAGGCCTTCGAAAGACTCAACTTTGAAGTTATTTAACAACTGCATCAACATCCTAGAGTATTACGAACCACTCAAAAACTCATTCAACAACTGTGTGATTATACTGCATATTAAGTGGTTCATAAGTCGGAACTCAGCGACGTCTGTGCAGTGAAGACAAACACAAGGCGAAACTACCTACTATGATCGGTGATATTCCTCAGTGCGTGGGGAGCAAAAACACAGGAATATGGTGAGCCAATAAGGACACACTAGAAGGTTAATACCGCCAGACTTACGTCTTATATCGCGCAAACCCGAAGGAGCACGAGTGAAAACCAAGAAGCTGGTGGAAGGGGCTGTAAAGACAGTAATTCAATGGAGCATCGACAGGACAGCAGTGATGAAGAAGCTTGGCGAGCAACGAAAGAAACAGCAACCACCTTCCGTAGGAAAAATTTAAAGGGAATTACGTCTTTTAACTACTGGCAGCATCATTTCTTCTACAAGAATAACCATAGATAAAGTTGTCAAATATGGGGTTAGAAACGCAAGGAAGACCCTCATTGCTCTCAAGTCAATCTGAAAATTAACTGCACTTGGCACAAGAAATACGATCCCGATGTTTAAGACCAGTGTCAGTTTAGTGTTCCTATATGACTCAGAGGAAAGGCGTATATGTCACCACAAGCATTTCAAACTGCCTGCTGTAGACTTTCATCAACAGACAACTGCACTGGATAGGGGATATCAGATGGCCTGCAGGGGAGGGCAAGCAGACTCTAGTAGAAACTAGGTCAATAGCCCGTTGTCCAACAAGTATGTGGAGGGAAATGGAGATGACTCGGAAACTACTGAGTAGATGGTTGAGTGACATCACGCGTCATGTACTCGAATGGAAGTCAAATAGGAAAAAACGATTTGGATGTCCAAGGGGAACATGCAGATGTAGTGAAGCGGAAGTGAAGGTTTACAAGCAATGGTGAGACCGGGCGAACATTGTGGCAGAGTACCGAATACAATGGATGTGTGTCAATGTTTATCCACAAAGGACCCGAGGGATGAATAATAATGAAAACCCTAAACGTCTGTAAAAATATGAGGATATAAGCGAGTATGAACCCGTGGCAAAGACTACGGAACAAAAATACCCAAGATATCAAAAATAAACATTGAGAATGGAACCGTGGGGCCGTGAAATCTACCTTTGGCCGGGTAAACAGGACCACCTTATATTTCAAATTAAAGTTTAATCCGTAGCGTAAGAGATGTTTCCAACTTTAGAGACACTTGGTGATTCATTTCACCTGAAGGGACACATTTTGCACTCAAGGCCAATGGACTGACCCCTTAAGGGCGGCATGTTGTAACGCTCCTCGCTGTAAGGCATGGTAAGTTTGGCGGTTTTCTAATGTTCAGACCATGCTTGTCTACTTTCAGGTTGGCTGCGTCAGTACCACTAGCGCAGCGTAAGATCTTAGATGCGCTAGTAATATTAAGGCCCAACGACAGATTTCTATCACATCGGTAGGTTTCGAAACCGTCGCTACGCATCAGCAATGACACCAGGCTCACGTGGGCGTTGTCCATGGCTTGTAGACTGATGCCATCTTCAGTGCAATCAAGGGTTGCTTCCTGGACAAGGTCCTTGATGGCATCTATGACTTTTTTCCATATATCCGCTTGTATTAACCTGGCTTCGAACATCTTACTCGGAAATCCGCACCAACTTCAAAATTTGTATTACGCACAAATTGTGAGTCCCTATTGCTCGCCTAAACGTCTCTGGAACACATGAGGAATGTATGACAGAACAAGTTGCTCCTGAGTCAACTAACATAACACACTTTTTCCCACCTATATAACCTACAACTTTCGGGGAGGTGACACCGATTAGGTTTACAGTAGGCACACAATTCATATCGACATGTGACTCACCTGCATTGTGACCACAACTCCTAGCAAGCTTACCAAACCGCCTGCAGTAGTAGCAATCGTTTCTTGAAGTGGATTGCGACTGTGGGCGTCCTTTCCACGGTGGTGTAGGATTCTGTGCATGCTTTGTTGTTGTGTGCTGATATCCCATTGCGTTTACTTGTGGGCATGTGGTTCCTGGCTCTTCCAGGCTTTCCACTAGGCGTGCCCTAGCTTCCGCTTCTGCCATGGATGTTGGAGTGTGCAAGTTGAAGTCCTTCCTGTAACGGACGTCGACACCCTGCAAGAACTTGGAATATATAGCGTTTTCAACCTCTGAATATGTCTTGTCCTGCATAGCTTGACGCGCAAGCTTGCGGAGACGTAAGATGAACTGGTTGAGAGATTCACCTTACGTCTCCGCAAGCTTGCGCGTCAAGCTATGCAGGACAAGACATATTCAGAGGTTGAAAACGCTATATATTCCAAGTTCTTGCAGGGTGTCGACGTCCGTTACAGGAAGGACTTCAGCTTGCACACTCCAACATCCATGGCAGAAGCGGAAGCTAGGGCACGCCTAGTGGAAAGCCTGGAAGAGCCAGGAACCACATGCCCACAAGTAAACGCAATGGGATATCAGCACACAACAACAAAGCATGCACAGAATCCTACACCACCGTGGAAAGGACGCCCACAGTCGCAATCCACTTCAAGAAACGATTGCTACTACTGCAGGCGGTTTGGTAAGCTTGCTAGGAGTTGTGGTCACAATGCAGGTGAGTCACATGTCGATATGAATTGTGTGCCTACTGTAAACCTAATCGGTGTCACCTCCCCGAAAGTTGTAGGTTATATAGGTGGGAAAAAGTGTGTTATGTTAGTTGACTCAGGAGCAACTTGTTCTGTCATACATTCCTCATGTGTTCCAGAGACGTTTAGGCGAGCAATAGGGACTCACAATTTGCGGCTTACGACAGCCAATGGAGATTGCATGCAATCCCAGGGACTGGTCCTGCTGCCACTTGAATTGGGAACACTGTCACTTCAACACAATTTCATCATCTCTACCCTGGTGCCGTGGCAGGTAATCTTGGGAGTCGACCTCCTGGAAAAGCTGTCCGGAATAATAGATTGTAGTCAGAGGACTCTTATACTGAAGGACTGTTCCATCCCATTTATTGTAGGGAATGACAAAGAGCACGGCACTTTTGGCGTGCAGGGAGATGCTAAGAATGAGAAACAGCGAATGCTGACGACTATAGAACCCCTACCATCGGAAACGGCTGCCAACTTTAATAAAATGCTAGACAAATATGAGGACTGTTTTGACTGGGATGGAAAAAGCCCGGGAAGAACAAAACTGGTCCAACATCACATAGAAACGGGTAACGCCCCACCTTGTAGACAACCTGCACGGCGAGTACCTGCACATTACCAGTGGAGCCAGGAGACAAGGTGATGCTACTTAAGGAGGCACCACCTAAAGGGAAAGCTCTTAAATTCTATAAACGCTGGGAAGGACCATTCACTGTAGTAGAGGTACTAAGTGACTGCACCTGTAGGATTCAGGAACCGAATTCCTCTCATAGTCTAGTCACACACTTCAATAGACTAAAACCTTTTCGACAACAGGCCTTAGTTCAGACAAGTCCCGCAGGAACAGTCACCTAGCACTGCGGACAGTGCTCCTATGGGAGAGGGGGTAGTGTAAGGCATGGTAAGTTTGGCGGTTTTCTAATGTTCAAACCATGCTTGTCTACTTTCAGGTTGGCTGCGAAGTATGCAGGGATTGGTTACCCAAGACGAGGCAACGGATGACCAATATGAGTGCCCCTTCCCTCTTATCTAATTGTATTGCGATTGGTTGTAAATATAAGACTTGACCTTGAGTCTTCGTTCTTACTATCACGCAACACTTGTGTGATCACGCTGCTAACGTGCGCTTTGCTCTCTGTTTCAGATCATTGCTTGACGAGTGGGATTACATCACCCAGTGGTGTGATTTCGCAACGGCATAGTCAGGGGTTAGTAAGCTTCCGGAGAATCAACAGTATAACAACCGCCTCGACTCCCTTACCACTAACCTTAAGTAAATAATCAGAATTTAGGAATAATAAAATTGTTAAAAGGATGACTATAGATCCATCTGTTTTGAGGTCTCTTCTTCCTTTAACCTCAAAATCCCAATCCTCTCAAGTGACCGGCTTTCCTGTTGGGCTGCCCTAGTTAGTAGCTCCAATTAGTCAATTGTTCACACAGTAATCAGACACTCGATCTTGCTGAAACTCGTACGAGTCCACTTAACGTTAAGTGGATCCAAAACAGAAAGCATAGTTTAGTTTTGTTATACTACTCATAACTCTAATTGGTAGTTAAAGTCATTTTCCTGGGTAGCCGCAGTAGTTTTGACTTCTCAGAAGCTGCTTGTAATGTAAAGGGATATCTTTGATTGTGATGAATTGTTACTAGAGTTAGTCAATAAGTAACTACTGTGCAGACGTGTATGATAGTTGTTTTGAACTACTGCATACTGTTGATTATCCTAGTTTACAAGGGATTCGTTTTCTCAATATGGTATTAAATATTGTAGGTTCTGTCGTTAATGGAAGTCACATGTTACCCGATAAAAACAAACAGGTGAAAACTATACCGGTTTCACATCTAGGTAAGGGTGCATTAATCAAACTTTCACATATTGATAGGTCATAGAACACAGGTATACTTAACACTGTCCATCACTCGCCATACGTTTTCGCCTTAAGTTAGTGGTCAACTTTGTTGGTCAATGGAGGCTTTGGTAAAGTTTTGATTGTGAAGTGTCACTGTTGAATTCGGTTTTTCATAGATTAAGGTATCACCAGGGGAAGGTTTTCTTTGATTTAAAGTCTAAAGACAGAGCTTTTTGAGCCCTTCAAGACAGAATTTAAGTAGGTTTAACATCTAGGGATGAAACTTGGGCACTGTGCTGCAGTATAATTCGATTGTGTATAAAATTTTATTATGATGAAGTGTTATACAGTAATAATTACTGATAACGTTTCGTGCACAACTTAATACTTATAATCATATCAGGTTCAGTATATAGTTTGTCGCCACCAGTGTCAGGGTAATGCTGCAAGATTTGTCTGCAGTAATAGTTTAAGGATGACTAAGTGTTCTGACGACTTCAGTTGCCTGGAGTCGGTTTGTAACAAAAGTCTGGCTTACCATTCGCCAACCTATGTCATCGTTGACTCAAGCATGATATTCAGTTATCTATCAGAGGACGTATTTACCATACAGCAGTTCTCTCTGTGCTACTTCAAGACTGAAATAAAGTGGATTTTGAATATTTATCAGTTTTCAACCATTGGTACTCCCTCTCATAACGACCGGGACGATGTGGTTAGGAATAGTCGGGATAGGGGTAAAAAGTTGACTAAGTCTACCGTCAAAGTTGTGAAGCATTAGTGGTTGAGTTGATTACGGCGTGTAATGCCTGCCGAGCTACAGCTACCCGCGACAAGAAAGCTTGTCTAGAACAAGATTAGGTTGAAAAAGTTGTCATACCAAAACGTTGCATTCATCCATTAGGTCTTTGACCATTGGTTTGAGACACGTAAAGAAGTGTAGATTGTCTGTCTGAAGATTGCGGCAAGCAATGGTAAGGGACAGTGGGACCTCATGGAATGACTCCGGAGGTATTTAAGTACGGTGGAGACAGCTTACTGTCCGAATTAACTGAGGTACTAGGCAGCGTCTGGGAATCAGAAGAAGCCCCAATCGGGTTGGTGTGAGTCACTGATTATCCCCATATACAAGAAGGGAGACAAGTCTTCCTGTGATAATCACAGAGGGATTAGCTTGACTAATATGGTATCTAAAGTCTTAGGCTCAATAATCATGCGTAGACTGAGTGGTGCTCGGGAAGCACAAACACGAGAGAGCCAGGCAGGCTTTAGACCAGGAAGAGGGTGTATTGATCATATATTCACCCTCCGACAGATTCTAGAACATAGGCATTCCTACCGGCGTCCAACAGTCATTATATTTCTTGACCTTAAGGCAGCATTCGACTCTGTCGATCGGGAAGTTCTCTGGAGATGCTTGGCTGTAAAGGGAATTCCAAGAAAATATATTGCACTGATTAAGGCACTCTACTCGTACTCACACAGACAGGTGAGGGCTTACGGCGAGCTGTCATCTAAACTGATAACGACCAGTGGTGTCCGTCGAGGATGCCCATTATCTCCTTTTCTATTCAACTTCATCATAGATGTGTTAATGGACTTAACCCTAGGTGACTTCAGTGACTCAGGGATTGACTTGCTACCGGGGAATAATCTCGTTGACCTGGAATATGCAGACGATATAGTCCTTCTAGGCGAAGACGCTGACGAAATGCAGAGTCTTCTAAACACCTTGAGCCGCAATCTACGAATGTTTGGCATGCGATTCGCTCCCGCCAAATGCAAGATGATGTTACAGGACTGGACTACATCGACGCCTAATTCAAAAATAGGAAGTGAAGTGGTAGAGCACGTTGACTGCTTCACTTATTTGGGAAGTACCATCAGCCAGTGCCAACGGGTTGATCTCTGACGAAATCTCAGCACGAATACAAGGGGCTCGTTTCGCATTTGTTAGTTTACGCAGACTCTGGCGTAGACGAGATGTTCGACTATCGACCAAAGGGCGGGTGTACTGCTCATCAGTCCGCTCCGTCCTCCTGTATGGTTGTGAGACCTGGCCACTGAGAGTGGAAGACATGAAAAGACTAGCTGTCTTTGATCATAGGTGCCTGCGTTCTATTTCCCGTGTAAAGTGGCATAATAAGGTGAGCAACATGGAGGTTAGGCGTAGAGTTCTAGGTAAACAGGGGAAATCAATCGACGAAGTCGTGAAGCTACATCGACTGAGATGGTTAGGACATGTGTTACGTATGCCAAGCCATCGCCTCCGTCGACAATGGGCAATGTTAGCGGATATAGGGTCAGGCTGGAAAAAAGCTAGCGGCGGTCAAACAAAAACTTGGCATCAGTCAATGAAATCCACAACAGTTGGTCTAAGCCACGTAGGAAGGTGTAGACTTCCAGGCTGGGGTCCTCGGGACGGTAAAAATCTATGGTTGGAAACAATTGGTGACATGGCTCAAAATCGTTCTCAGTGGCGCAGATGCATCCACTCCCTGTGACTTATGATCTTCAGTGAAACTGTTTTGTATTTCTTTATTACTCCTTTTTCTCACACCTCTGCTCACTGTTTCTATTATGCTTTTCTTGTACTTTCTTCTCTTGCTTCGCGTGCTACACGGAATGTGGCGACTTGAACTTCCGCACATTTGTGCAAAGTTCTATGTTGAAAACAGACAGACAGACAGTGGCTTAGCTAAAAATCACATACTGTGACGCAGACGTATGCATTCCTTGCCAGTAACTAGATTTTGAAAATCCTCTATAGTCTTCATTTAATTCTCTCTACTAGTCATCTTTCTCCACAGTATCTGAATTACACTTGTTTTTCACTTCTATGCATGCTTTGTTGAACTTTTGTAATTTTGTGCAAAGTTAACTTGATAGGTTGGAAAGTGCAAGCATTTTGTTCATATCATCATGTTAAGGACGACATATATGATCGCTTAGGACATATTAGAGTGTAGTCAGAATCCAAATGAGTATCCAAAAGAATGTGGAAGTTATAGATGGGCGTGTTAGGCGGTGACCGTGTGCTTAAGTGAGAACCTTTGCTTGAGTGAAAGAATAAGGCCAGGTAGCACTTCGGTAATGAATAACAACGTTATAAGTATCTGAGTATGTGGTTCGTTAAATAGTGGGCGAGATAAGTAATATGAGGTTAAAGTTGACTTGATCATTTCATTGAACAGTCGTTCCATATGCTTGGTAACACTTCAGGAGTGACAGCGTTTAAGCACGAAAGAAACAACAACAGGGCACCTATTTTAGATACATATTCATATTGAGCTGTAACTTCTATTCCTATCTGGGAATGAAAAGATGACAGTACTCTCCAGAAACACTCAAATGGTGTGGTGTTTCTCTTATCAAATGCAATAATCTAGCAGTTAGAACAACATTACGAATAGCTAAGAAGGCAAAATGTAGTGTGGAAAAAATATAAGTGAGTTGAATTCGGAAATGGAGACAACAACTGACATAAGTACGACTGGCGCTGAGGGAATACTGCTCTTATACTAGATGGTGTTGTTACTTACTTACTTTTACTTTACTTCGGCTATCTCCTACGGGAGGATGAGCCGGCTTCATGAACTCATGAAGTTTCATGGGAATTGGGTACGAGTGATGTCCCCAGAATCGCTCGGCCTTTTGTTTGAGAGTGCAGCTCTAGCCTTTACACAACAAAGTGTGACATACAAGGCAGTAGGAGTGGAGTAGGGAGTCCACTATCCATTGGCAGCCGGTGACCAGAGTTCGGTTCATACGCCTTTTTGAATGGGGCCAGACATCCAGGGCATACAATAAGCCCTTTGTCCATACGTCTGCCGGTGAGCTCCAGTGAGCTTCATACGCCACTCGTTGGAGGTTTGGAATCAGGGTTTAGCCATCTCCCCTAGACTGTCATCCAATGGACAGTCAACCCGGTGAAGAGCGCCGGGCAACCGCTTTTGCCCTCTCACTTCGGTGAAAAACACCTCTGCCACGTGAAGGCAGTGAGTAGGACTTCCTCAAGAGAGGCTATGTAAGACGCCCGGTCATATGGGAGCATTTCAAGAGGTGTACGGTGGGAGGGGTGGCCAACCCGCAGCGCAAGGCACCCACCCCCGACCATCCTGAGGCTTTGGTGTTGTTACCGTTGACTATGGATGCCAATAATGTATTTAAAAATTTAAACAGAAATCACCAAGCTGAAGTTTTATCGCAGACTTACAGAACAGTTTCTCACACTTTAGGTGTATGACATTGTTAGAAATTTTATGTCTTGTCACTTCTGAAAAGTTATGACCAACAAATGTGCCTCATTTTAGGTTGTTTTTTTTGAGAGGTATGTATTGGGAAACGAGAAGGCTCTCGGATTAAATGGGTGCTCCGAAGATGCAGGATTAGAGTTGTATGGGTTGTTTACTAGTCATCTTTGTGAGGTCATTTCATTTTCTCATGTACACCTTTCCTCATAATCTTTCACTGATGTTGATATATTGTGAATTAACGAAATATAAGAATTGTCCACATTGAAAGAATATTGAGCAGAGTACTATTGTTGTAGCTATTTTTGATGGTTGTATTTTATTCTTATTTTTAAGTGATATTCAATTAAGCATCATATATTTGCATATTATCACGTATACATGTCAACTGACGCCTTCTCTGCCGTAAACGTGATATTCGGCTGGCTATCGATCGACTAGAGGACGTGTCTATCGCTTAGCAGTTCACTGCATTCTCCTATATATGACTGCAAGATGTGGCCATTAAAAGTGGGAGATATGATGAAAAGTCTAGCTCTCTTTGACCACCGCTGTCTGCATTCTATCTCCTGTGATAGGTGGTATAACAGGATGAGCAACATTCGGGTTAAGTTTCGTGTTTTAGGTAGGGTGGGTCAAGTCAATAGATGAGGTTGTGACGGTGAATCGATTGAGATGGACAGGACATGCATTACATATGGCTAACCACCTTCTTCGACGGGAGATGGTAGGATCAGATTGGAAAAGAGCTAGTACTGTTCAAACCAAAACATTGAGTCAGTCCATGAAATCTTCGACAGTTAGTTTGGGCCAACCATGTAGGGAGGTGTAGGCTTCTTGGTTAGGGTCTTCGGTGTGTTAAGAATCAATGACTGGAGACAGTTGGTGATATGGCTTGAAATCGTTCTCAGTGGTGCAGATGCATTCACTCTTTGTGATGTCCAATAACGATTAAATCCTCATGTTTTTCAATTTCAATATTCCTCCCTCGAATTTCTGCATATTATCGTTGTTTTGAGTATATTTTTTCCCTGTCTTTTATCTTCCTGTATGTGATACATGGCTTTTGCTTCCATATTTTAGTTCAGGTTTACGACAGTTACCTTTTATCCCTAGATCAGTTTTTTAAAGCCAACATCCTTTTACGCATAGTTTTCGTTGTTTACAAGACTTCATTAGCTGATATTGGTTAGAGAACCATTGGAAGATCTGGGAGTACTGAACAGCTGTTCCATCAGCCTAGTTTAGAACTCTCCATCGTTATGCACCCACCGCCAGGGTTCGGACCCGGGACTTTCCGGTTACAAGGTGAGCTCGTAGACCATTGAGTCACTGGAACACGACTAAGTGGCGCATGGATTTCAACTTGTCTGTTCTCTTGAAGAGGAACAGCTATCAGATATAGGTGTGAATATGTGACTGAGAAAGTCTGCAATATGGTGGCAGTTTTCATTTAATATTTCCCCTAGTCGAATTCGATTAGTTTACTTTTCCTAAGACAATTCACTCAGTTCCACTTTCTTGATATCAGCTCATATAAATTTGAAACAATCTCTAAGTCCCATCATTTCAGTGATATATGCATTGATAGTAACTGTTCACTGCCCTAACAGTTTACCTTTTCACATTTTTAGCTACTTTATCTGACCAAATGGTTGGTGTTCGACGAGTAGCGATAACTGGTGTGGGGGTTTGTACACCTCTAGGTTGTGGTGTACCTGATTTCTGGACAAATCTGATAAACGGTTTTTGTGGAATATCTAAAACACATGGTAGGCTGATGTGCTATTTCATGAATCATAGATGGATTTTCTTTTTTGCCTAGTCGTGTGGCTGGAATAATTACTGATCGCGATTTTGAAGAACAGAAATGTTTTGTGAACTCTTCACTGAAAAAAACTTGGAAAGTAGACATTTCTAGTGATTGGAAGTCAATATCACGTGCTAGTGCTTTAGGTGTTATAGCAACTCATGAAGCTTTTAGACAAGTAAAGTGGAAAATGAACTCAGCCTATCGAGCAGGTATGTTATTAGTTTTTTCATGAGAATATACGTATCAATTTTGTGTGTGTGTGAACAGTGTATAATTGTCACTAAATGTGCATGCAGAAAATCGTTTTGGAAAATTTGTGGGTATGTTTTGAAACAACGATAATGCCTAAGGACTTTCTCTGGTGTTAAACTGTATTCTTTATTACACTGTCTTGTTGATGTCTGCCAAGAATTGTCGGGGAGATCGTATTTACTCACCAATATCAGACGATGGTGTTTACTAAACTGTGTATATCTGTACTACAGATTGAGTTTCAGCGTAGAACTTTGCACAGAAGTGCAGCAGTTCTAGTTGCCACATTCCTTGTAACATATACAAAGGCAGAGGGAAGAAGAAAAATCAAGTCCAAAAAGCCATAGTGAGCAGAACTCTATTTCTCTTTAGCCTTACTATCGATGACATTCTAGGGTCACCTCTGAAGGAGTATCTGTGGTGTAAATTTGCTTCCTTTTCGACCTCGAGTATGCAGACGATATCATGTTACTGTGTGATAACATGCAGACTGGCCAAATCGCAATTAACCAGTTGGCGATCAGTATCTATAAGCGTGGTATGTGCTTTGCACCGTCTTAGTGCAAGGTACTGTTAAAAGATTGGCAGGAGTCTGTACCTGCACTCACTTTTGCAGGTGAACCGCCTGAAGTTGTTGGTAGGTTCGTGTATCTGGGTAGTTGCATGACTGCTGGCGGAGGTGTTACGGACGAGATTTCCAACCGTATCATGTGAGCTAGGGTGGTATGCGTCAACTTGTGAGTCACCTCTGGTGCCATCCCAACGTTGGCCTGGCTGTCAGTTTTGACAGCTGAATGCTCCTGTATGTAAATAATATTGTAAAGATGTGGTTCATTGGTCTAGACACTGGATCGCGGGTTTGAGCACTCCCTCACCCACTGAGGTTTGAGTACCCAGGTAGTACCATTTACTCCTGCAAAGTAGATGTGGCTCAACCTCACTACTGTTGTAATGCAGGTGATTGTTATTCAACATTGACGCAAAAGTCGTAATCTTCCTTAACATTGACTGCAATGCATGCTTATTGTTCTAATTACAAATGCCGATGTTGGTATGATTTTAGGCGTATACTTTGGAGTTGGAATGGATGGTCCAAGTGAAGTTATAGATACAGCATCAGGAATTCTAACCAAAAAGTATTCTGGAGTTGGACCACACGCTTTGACTAGAACGCTGAGTAATATTCCAGCTGGTGTGATAAGCCGAATTTGGGGGCTACGAGGACCATGCATGGCTACAAATACTGCATGTGCTGCTGGCCTTCATTGTATCGGTGAAGCTTTTCGTATGAGTAAGCACTTCTGAATTAATTTTCGACTTACAATAGTTTTATTGTTGTTTAATGAGCCCTATATTTTATATATATTTTTTTTGTAGTCGTTCACCCTGTGTGCACACTAGTAGTCATTTCTGTTGATAGCGGATAACGTGAAAACTAAAGATTATTCATGATATGTTAGTTGAGCTAAGAATACTGAAGCTGAAATATCTCAGAAATGCATAAATTATCTAACTTTTGATGCACAAAATTTCAACATATAGAACTTTCTAGGTTATATTGTTGAAGTGACAAAGGTCAGTTTTCAAGGGGCTTATAATATTCATATGATCGCATTCCTACAAGGTTATTGGGGAATCGGAGTTTATCGCGCATTTTATTGTGAAATCTCAAGAATCATTGAAGAGAGTATGCATGCTTATTTAGTTAGCTAGCTAAAATTAAAAGTTGAAAGGGTTATTTTCCTTTGAGGAGTTTAAAAAATAATTTGACTCTTAATCAGTATTTAAGTGTGAGAACGTCCAAGTTGCTCACCCAATAACAGAAGAACTGATCGCACTAACATTGGTATAAAGAATGCGAATCTTGTTCTGTATGCTGAGTAAAGAAGATTTTCAAGCTGATTTCAAGGTGATGAAGGTTCGCTTTGCCTCTCCGATTCTGGTTAATGATAATAGCTTTATTCCAAAACGGTACTTGCGATACAGAATGGAATTCTCAGCATTTTACTACAGTATTACATCCAGTTAGTAAATTAACAATAAAATAAAATTCTACATAGATTAGGGATAATCTCAGTTAGTTTTGACAACAACATATTAGCATGTCGGTAACAAAGCCAAAATTAAACAGTGTTTGAAGGTGCTAGAAAAGTAAGTTCTAGCATATTTGCTGGCGTAAGCAGAAGAAAGGAAAAGAAAGAAAGAAAGAAAAACGTTGTACCTATAAATGATATGAGTTGGAAAGACGAGATCCAATTGTTCTACTGACTATTTAATAAGTTAAAGGTTTCACGCCTAATGCTTTCTTTATCGCACAGAACACGAGCTAGGTACTTACTAGTGCGAGCGTATAGTTTTATATATAGGCTTCTGGTTTTCCCAGAAGAGATACAAGGGGAGAGTTGTAAATGAAGGGGGTGTTGTGAGTTAGATAAAATGGATTTAGCCCATTTTTCACATGAGTCTATGTGCCTGTCAACCGGAATATTAACAAGCTGGTTAAGTGGCACATAGCTTACCCTGCTGACAACCTTTAACATCCCGCGTAATAAGGTACAGTCTTTCTTCAGTAGCCCAGGAAAAACTAAAGGGGAACAATAGAGAATAATAGGCAGAATACGGGAGTTAACGAATTGTAGGAGTAAGGGTTGAGTTATACCAAAATGTCTTAACTTCTTGATGTAGAAGGTAAGACGGTTTTGACAATTTCATCCGTTATACCGCCTGTATTTGAAATGATGCCACCTAGATAAGTGAAACATGTAGCGCCTTTCAAACTTCTCCCGTTGATAGTGATTGGTTGTTACTATTGGTCTGTAGTGTTATCTTCATCACCACCGTCTTGTCTGTGTTCACCTGGAGAGTCCTGTTGTTGCCTCGTCCATGAAGTCCAGGTCTTCTAGTGTCTTTTTATCAGTCCAACATATTCCTGTCTTCTCGTTACCCCATGAACGGTATGCTGCATGATCCAGTTCCCCCACTATTAGGAATATCATCAGTGGTGATAGTAGGGAGTCTTCCTCGTCTTCCTTCTGTATTCGCTTCAGAGGCTTCGCTGAGTTTTCCACTGTGGATCACTTGACGCATGGTATTGTCATATAGCTGTTGAATGAGGTTGATAAAAATTTGTGGCACTGCATACTGCTAAAGTAGTTTCCAAATTACTTCACAGTCAACGCTATGGAAAGCTTTTTCAAAGTAGATGATGTTGAGTTAGAGATTTTACTTCCACTCTGTTTGGTGATGATGATGCGTAGCGTTACTGTATAATCCGCACATGATTTTCTTTTCATGAATCCAGCTTGTTTGTTCGGGTCCCAGTTCTGCATCCAGTGCATCTTTTAGTCTCTACAGGATGATACAACTAAAAATTTTACTCGGCATGGACAAAAGCATGATTTTGCGCCAGTTCTTGCAAAGGCCTAGGTCGCCCTTCTTTGATAGTTTAACAAGAAGGCCTTTTGTTCCAACCAGTAGGTAGAGGTACCTTTTCTTCCTTCCAAAGGTTTTGAAGTTGTAGTGTCAGCATATCCGCGGCGGTTTCTGAATCCGTTTTCACTGCTTCAGGAGTATTTCAGTCCAGTCCTGCTTCCTTCTTGGCTGGCTTTCAATAGCTTGATTGCATTCGAGACTTCTGTTTTTGCATGGAGGATTTCATCATGAGCTGACATCAGCTAGAGAACCACTGGAAAACCTGGGAGTACTAGACAGCCGTTTCGTCAGCCTAGTTTGTGACTCTTCGTGAGTACACACCCACCGCCAGAGTTCGAACCCAGGACCTTCTGGTTACAAGGAGAGCTCGTAGACCATTGAGCCACTAGGCCCCGATCCAATGGTTCTTGAACTCTAACTTCTGCCGATTCACGACATAGCGTGACCATTTCACAATGTGTTCTTTGATGAGTTAATGCCTCACCTTCGACCCCTGCGAGTTTGGCTTGTGACCAGAAGGTCCTGGGTTCTAACCCTGGTGGGTGCATGCTGATGAAGAGTCCCAAACTAGGACGAAACAGCTGTCCAGTACTTCCAGGTTTTCCAGTGGTTCTCTAACTGATGTCAGCTCATGATGAAATCCTCCATGGAATCAAACAAAATCCCTACAAAACCAATACTTGAAAACTTCTGTTTTTTCTGGAGGATTGGTATCTACTGGCAGTGGTTCTGTGTCTGTTGGTGGCTGCAAAATGCCTTACAGAAGATAAAGCATAGAACAAAAAGTAGAAAATATTTTGTATTTTGCATATTAGACACTACAATCTGTTGTTTTATGCATTGTACTCCTTACTGGAAACTTAAATATAATTTTTCAATGTAATAAAACTGTTAATTAAACTAATATTCATTCTGAGATTTATAATTTTGAAATTAAATACTGCGAACGTTTACTTTTCTACTACTACAACTAGTTCAAAATAATGAAGCGGATCTAGTTGTTGCTGGTGCATGTGAAGCGCCTTTAAATCCATGGACAATGGCTGCTTTCTCTCGTCTTCGCGCTCTGTGTACACAATTCAATGATACTCCTGAACAAGCCTCGCGTCCTTTTGACTTGCAACGTAAAGGATTTGTATTATCTGAAGGTGCAGCCGCAGTTATTTTACAAGCTTGGCCACCTCCAGACGATTTCTTACGAGAATCATTTGATGAACCGCCTACACCGATTGCTGAAATCATTGGTTTTGGAAGATCTGGTAAGTTTTTTAAAAATTTATTACTGATCTTTCATAGATCAAAAGTATACCACCTCCCGAATAAATTATTATTATTATTGCTCCCTTGGGCTCCTAGTGGAACATAGGGCTTCAACTGCACGTCTCCATTTTCTTCTGTCTTCTGCTGTACTTTTCGCCTGCATCCATGTTAATCCATATTCTTTCAACTCCTCTTCACACGATCTCCTCCATGTCACCCTTGGACGTCCCACACGCCACTTCCCTTTCGGGCTCCACTCGAGGGCTTGGCGCGCGATGTCACCCAGCGGTCTCCTCAGCGAGTGTCCGATCCATCTCCACTTTCTCCTGCATATTTGTTGGGTGATTGGTTCTTGCTTTGTTTGTTCCCATAATTCCTTGTTGGTGATTCTTTCCGGCCATCTGATCTTCAGTATTGAGCGAAGACAGTTGTTAATAAAGGTCTGCAGCCTTTTGGAAATATTCTTTGTGACCCACCCGCCAAGTTTCTGATCCGTATAGAAGAACTGACTTTACGTTTGTATTGAAAATCCGACTGAATTTTGTTGTTGATGCCGACTGAGTGACGAAGGTTTCCAGATTGGTTTCAGGTTGATGATGAATGTGTTTCTCGCCTTCCTGATTCTCGATTTGAAATCCTCGTCCGCTCCTCCTGTAGTTGAGACAATGCTCCCTAGATAAATGAATGAAGTAACCTCTTTCAAATCCCTCCCGTTGATGGTGATTGACGTTGGATGTTGTTGCTGTTGTTGGTTGGTTATTTTCATAACCTCCATCTTGTCTATGTTCACCTGGAGTCCTGTCTTCGCCGGCTGCTTCTTCGACCAGTTTGTCGGTTTTCGCTTGTAAGTCTTCGATTGTGTGTGACATCACACATAAGTCATCCGCGAAATCCAGGTCTTCTAGGTTCTTCACGTTGGTCTGTCCAGGATATTCCTGTCTTCTCGTTTCCCACAGTCTGACGTATAATCCAGTCAGTCCACCACAATTAGGAATATCATCGCGGGTGATAATAAACACCCTTGTCTGACTCCTGTGTTTACTCCAATCGCCTCGCTGAGTCTTCCGTTGTGGATCACTTGGCAGGTGCCGTTGTCGTACAGCAGCTGTTGAATAAGGTTGATGAATATTTGGCGTACACCATAGTACTCGAGTAATTTCCAAATTACTTCACGATCAACGCTGTCGAAGGCCTTCTCAAAGTCTATAAAGTTGAGGTATAGGTTTGATTGCCATTCCATGCTTTGTTCGATGATGATGCGTAGAGTTGCAATTTGGTCAGTACATGATTTGCCTTTCCTGAATCCAGCTTGTTCTGGTCCGAGTTCTGTCTCCAGTGCGTCCGTTAATCTCTCCAGGATGATGCGACTCAGGATTTAACTTGGCGTCGATAGGAGCATGATTCCTCGCCAGTTCTTGCAGAGTGAGGCGTAAGTCGCCCTTCTTTGGTAGTTTCACGAGGTAACCTTTCCTCCAGTCAGTAGGCACCTTTCCCTCCTTCCAGACCTTTTGCAATAATGGAGTCAACATATCTGCTGTCGTTTCTGGGTCCGCTTTCAGTGCTTCAGCAGTTATTCCATTTGGTTCAGCTGCTTTTACGGCTTTCAGAAACTTGATTGCGTTCAAGACTTCAGCTTTCGTTGGAGGACTGGTGTGAACTTGCAGTTGTGTACGTGCTGTTGTTGGTATTTCTGGACGGGTTGCAGGTGATGGTCGGTTCAAGAGTCCCGAATAAATAGTTTCCCTATAACAATAATGTGATTTTCATCAGATTTTTAATCTTTTCATGGAGAATGTTATTATCCTTCAATCATTTGTTGTGTCCTTCAACTTTGTAGCATTATTTTTAGCTAATTTCTCCATAAACTGGAGCGAGATTCACCTCAATAGATGAATAGAAAGTGTCATGAGTTATGAGTATCTCTAAAATGGTTTGCACCTTAATTACTCAAAAAGTTGTGTTTTATTCGACGAATTCTGCTTACTTAAAAAAGTACGTGTTTAAAGGGATTTCTGATGCACTGACATAAAGACTTAACTTACGAATATAGCATAAGGACTGTACTCATTCTAAAGCGGATTTCTGTATGTATCGAAAGAAAGTAGATAATTGCCTTGTCTCATTTTTCAACTCTTCAGAAATCCACACACACTTGCGATCGGGTGAAGAATTGAGTTCAGGATTTATCAAGTCACGAAGCTGGTAAGCTAAACCGCGTTCAGTGAGTCAGAATTCAATGATTGCTGACTTTCAGCTCACATCCGACTATCCATCAAAGGACGTGTATGTGTACTGTTCAGCAGTCCGCTACGTCCTCCTTTATGGTTGGCTATGCGACATGACCACTGAAGCTGGAAGACATGAAAAACCTGGCTAGTTGCCTTCCACCATAAATGTCTGCATTCTACCTCCCGTGTGAAGTGTTATAACAAGATGAGCAATATTGAGGTTAGGCTTCAGTTGTGTGCCAGGTAAGGAGGCGAAATCAATCGACAAAGTTGTAAATTTAAATCGATTGAGATGGTTAGAAAATGTGCTACGCATGCCTGCCTAGCCATCCCCTTCCTCGACAATCTATGTTAGCTGATATAGGATGGATCAGGTTGGAGAAGAGCTAGTAGTGGTCAAACCAAAACATGGCTTCATATGTCAATGAAATCCACAACAGTTTAAATCACCCACTTAGGGAGTTATAGACTTCCTGACTGGTTGGGGTCCTCGGGATTGTAAGAATCAATCAAGGCTAGAGACAATCGGTGATATGGCTTGAAATCCTCGTTTCCAATGATGACTCATATGCATTCATTCACTGTTTCTGATTTTTCATATCCAACGAGACTCTATTGTTCTTCCTTATCACTACTATTCTTTTTTGCCTTACATTCCTGTCTATTATCTCTCGTTTGAATCTCTCTATACTCTCTTCTCTTGCTTTGTGTGCTACGTGTAGGGAATGTGGCAACTCGAACTGCTGCACATCTATGTAAAGCTCTACCTTGAAACCAGTTGGTTTATTCAGGCAAAGTTCAACAATAGCGTCCCAGGAGTACGAATGCATGAGTGACTTCCAGATGACCAATCATAAAAATGAGGAATGTTTGCACACAAAAAAGGGTGTATATTCACAAGAAATTGCACTAATCAGGTTATCTTTCCTTGACATGGCTTAAAAATATACGTCTTAGTTATAACGAGGAGTATCAGTTGCTGAGTTAGACTAGTTTCTGTACATGAGTATTCACAGAGATGACTGTAGATAAACTGTGTTTTGTGAATCGTTCATCTCTCTCATTCTGCTTGCAGTCTTCCACAAAAGTCCTAGGTTGAATTATTATGGTTTCCAGCATGAGGATAGACGACTACTTACTAGAAAAACCTGGATAGTAAAACAAATTTTAAAAAATGAGATCAACTATAAATCTATCCCTAATCTTAACCAAAAGCTCAATCCTGACCCTAACCTTAATCCTAACGAGCTATTAACACATTATCCAAACAGTACTTAAAAACGTAACCTGGGTGAAATTTACTCCTAATTTGGTGAATAGTGTTGATATTTCAGCTATGATAATGACAAATGCCGTTAGCCAACGACTAGCATGCGTTCGAGGTCACTGGAGCGTTCACACTCCTGGGACGCTATTGCTGAACTTCGCCGTTTATTCATTCATTCATTCATTCATATCTGTGTGCAATATAATTCCACACCGACACACACGTTTCTTGGTGAGTAATTATTCTCACACTCAATTTCATACTACTTCACCCAGCACTGCCTTTTGAGAAAGTTTAGTAAGTATCCGTCACGTGTCTCAGTCACTTTAGTTATTAGATGAGACTTAAATAAAAACCAAACAACTTTTTTCTTCATTTAATTCAATTTGGACTCTCCAGTTGATTGAATAGACCGAAGTGCTTAACCTCAGGTTGACATGTCGCCTCCTTTCGCCAATGCTTCGACGCGATGTCTAGTCATTTCACTTGAAGTAAACTGGTGGATAGTGATTAGCAGTGGAATCTATGGTGCGTATTTTGTCAACCTGAGGCCAAACACTTCGGTCCAATCAATCAGCAGGAAAGTCCAAAGCCAATTAAATAATTACTAATACCTGTTGCACAAGAGGTGGCTGTCCGTCGGCCAAGTGGTCCAGTGGATGATACCGCTTTGGTGTCTAAAGAGATGGGTAATGTCGCCACTTTGAGCCTCAATGGGGAGGGGGACACTATCACTCACCGGGTAATGAGGGTACATCCAAACGACGAGTCTCGGGTCGGACGAAATGCGCATCCTTGGTTCTACTGCTAGTAACCATCCACCAGTTTAGCGCTTCGCTTCTTTTACAAAAATGAAATAGCAGCTTGATCATTGGCTTATTTTCTTTTAGTATTTAAACGTTCTATTTAATTCATGTACTCCGTCTCCTTAACATGTTTCGAACTTCTTTTTTATGCTGATTTCCACATAACTGTAGTATATTTTGTAACTTATATATTTTCGTAGACTTCTACATCTTCAGTCAGTCAGGCAAGGAAGGAATTCAATTCAGTATTGTAGCCCTTGAATAAACCATCATTCTTTCATATTGTTGGCTTAAGTTATGTGAACAGGCAATTTTTGTTTGCATAAACTACAAATCTTATTTATTTATTTGGCCATTTAGTTACGTAAGAATTTTTGAAATTTAAATGACTGATTAATGAGCAAAGAATATTCTTTCCATTAACCCGTCTTTGATCAGCTACTGCATTTATATAACAGTAGTTACCTGGGGTTGTAGTGAGAAATCGTGACTAGTAGGGTGCAGCAGGTCGGGTGGGAGGACAAATAGTCACCGAAGACATTGGCTAGTGGTCGCGCTATGTCGTGAATTAGCAGAAGTTAGAATTCATGGACTGGCCATTGGATCGGGTCCCAGTGGCTGATGAATGGTCTACGAGCTCGCTAGCCTTGTAACCAGAAAGTCCTGGGTTCGAACCCCTGTGGTGGGTGCGTGCTGATGAAGAGTCCCAAACTAGGATGAAACAGCTGTCCAGTACTCCCTTCAGGTTTTTCAATGGTTGTCTAACCAGTGACAGCTCATGATGAAATCCTGTAATTAAAAAAGTATTGTTAGTATCAACATTAATGCTGTTTTAAATTACTTTGAATCAATAGCGTCGACAGGTGATCACATTTCAAAAACATCAGTAAGAGAGAGAGAGAGAGAGATAATATGCATTTATATAACACCAGACTGACTGAATATCAGACAAATTAAGGGACAGAATTTACAATTTTATAGGTTCGACAGCAGGCCAGAGTAGCAACAGTGGTTGACTGGACCTGTTTTTTTAGCATGTACAGGTCTCCGAATGATTTAAGTGAATTGCAATTAGCCTGTACTGTTTTGAGTGTTCTGTTGTATCTACAGGTCTTCGGTAGTTTATTCGATACGCGCTAGATGATAGAGAAACATTCTTCAGCACTCACTAGCTAGCTTTATGGTGTGTTTGGATGCGGTGATCCGAATATCGAGCTGTTTAAAATAGTTTTAACAACACCTTTATTTAACCACAGACTGGTGTAGGCGTTAACGAGCACAAATATTATCCCCCTGTCTGATGCTTTTGAAATATAATCAGTCGCTTATCGCTTATATCGATCGATTCAATGCAATTTAAAACAGCATTAATATTCATGGAAAATCCCCATTCGAACATTAATAGAGAGAGATGACCAGTAGTTCAGCGAAGCGTTTCTTTTCGGAGGCGAATTCATTTTCACAGCTGTACAATCGCAAATATATATATATATATATATATATATATATATATATATATATATATATATATATATATATATATATATGGGTTATTTTATATGTATGCGTGTACATTAAATTTGTCAAACGAAAATACAATTAATATCAGTAAAAAGTTTGAGCATCAGACATATATCACATGACCTCTTCCAAGTCACCCTTGCACTGACGACCAACTCGCCGCTTCCCTTTCGGGTTCCACTCGAGCAATGGCTTGTCTAGTGATGTCACTTGATGGTTTGTTTTCTCAGAGTATGGCCAATCCACCTCCATTTCTTCCTGCAAATTTGTTGCGCAATCAGTTCCTGCCGCGTTGGTTCGTTCATCGCCAGAGATCCCTGTTTCTGATCTTTTCTGACCAGCCATCTGATCTTGAGTAGTATTGAGCAAAGACAGGTGTTGATGAAGGTCTGTAGTTTGTTTGATTCGTTCTGATCCGTATAGTACCACTGACTTCACATTCGAGTTGAAAATCCGGATCTTATTTTTCATGCTGTGGGCTGTCGGCCTCCACACAGACTTGAGAGTAATGAAAGGTTGCCTTGCCTTCCCGACCCTTGCTTTGATATCCTCGTCAGTTTCGCCTGTAGTTGAAACGATGCATCCCAGGTAGGTAGGTAGGTAAAGGAGGTTGTTTCTTTCGGGTTCCTCCCATTTATGCAGGCTGATTGTTGTCTGTTATTGTTGCTGTTGGTGTTGGTGTTGCCCAGGAATCTTCACCACCTATGTTTTCCCTATGTTCACCTGAAGTCCTATCTTCTCTGGATGCTTCTTCTACCAACTTGTGGCTTTTCACGTGTATATCTTCAAGTTAGTGGGAAATCAGACATATATCATCAGCGAAGTCCGGATCCTCCAAGTTTTTATTGTATGGGTCCATTTTATGCCTGTTTCCTCGCTTCCCGCTGTCTGTCGTATTATCCAATCTACCACAGTCAGGAAAATCATTGGCGATAGTAGGCAACTTTGTTTTACTCCTGCCTTACTTTGAAGGATTCGGTAAGTTTCCCGTTGTGGATTACTTGGAATGCAGCATTGTTGTACAACTGTTGGACGGGCAAGAACATCTTCAAGAATATCCTTTATTCATTAATCAGTCTTTTAGACCTTGAATAAGCATCCGTCTTCAATCAGTTTTTGAAATTTTACTGAATGTCTCACTCGATGTGAAATTACATCGACTAAGATGGTTAGGACATGTGTTACGTTTGCCTAGTCATCGCCATCCTCGACGGGAAATGTTAACTGACATAGGGTCAGGCTGGAAAAGAGCTAGCACATGGTGGTCAAACCAAAACATGGCACCAGTCAATGAAATCTACAACAGTTAGTTCAAGGCAGCTAGTCACGTAGAAAGGTGTAGACTTCCTGACTGGTTGGGGTCCTCGGGACGGTAAACACCAATCACTGGCTGGAGACAATTGGTGATATGGCTCAGAATCATTCTCAATGACAGCACAGATGCATCCACTCCTTGTGACTTATGATTTCCAGTGAAACTATATTGTTCTTCGTTATTACTCTTCCTTTGTCTCACACCTCTGCTTACTAGTATGCATTTCTTCTAGTTTCTTCTGTTGCTTTGTGTGCTACATGGAGGGAGTGTGGCGAGTTGAACTGGTGCACATCGATGCAGAGTTCTATGTCGAGAACAGACAGACAGAATATCTGCATATAGTTTTAACAAACTTTACAATATTTCTATCGATGTATTTATTTATTTTTATTGATAGGAGATGCTCATCATCTAGTGGCACCTGAACCAACTGGTAATGGAGCATTTCGAAGTATGTTAAATGCCTTCAAAGATTCAAAACTTGAAAGTGTGAACCAGGTAAGTTTGGTATTTTGGAAGGGTAATTTAAACGTCAACAACTTTTCCTTTATGTATTCAGTATGTATGACGCAAAAAAGTGTTTCCTTTCAATAGGAAATGAAGTTGGATGACACTGAACAAACTAATGCGATCCTACAATCTGAATATTGTTATATTGTTGTCATAGATTGTTTAATTATGCGCGTCGCCAAAAAGCATTTCCAACAGGTTAATCCAGACCTTTATATTGATACCTTTCTTCGCTGCATATTGAGAATCCAATGGTGAGTTGGAAAGAATACAAAACAGGGAACTCTGGAAATGGACTGGGCACACTGAGGATGAGATCGTTGAGTGATATCACTTACCAGGCCGTCTAGTGGAGCGCGGATAGGAAACGACAAAGGCGACATGGAGTAGATCGTGTGAGGAAGAAATGCGAGAGCTTATAGGTAGTTTTAGTGCCAGCTAAAAAGGACTTCAGAGAAATGTTGACGTGCTGTTGAAGTCCTATGCTGTACCAGGAACCCTAAGGGAATAATAATGATTAACATAATTATTTATTTTCAAGTATTGGTGAGCGAATCTGATGCTCACTAGTGACTGGCCCTATTCAGGCAGTTAACCTGGGGTTCTAGTGGGAAGCCGTGACCAGTAGGGTGCAGCAGGTTGCAGGCGAGGCAGTAACTAATCGAAGAAGACCATTGGATTGGGTCCCAGTGGCTCTATGGTCTATGAGCTCACTTTGTAACCAGGTGTTGGGTTCGAACTCTGGCGGTGGGTGCGTACCGCCGAAGAGTCCCAAACTAGGAAAAAACAGCTGTCCAGTACTCCCAGGTTTTCCAGTGGTTCTCTAACTGATGTCAGCTCATGATGAAATCCTCCATGCAATAATTATTTATTAAAAAGTAGTTATTAGATTTTAGTGATGTTCACCTAATTATTATTTCTCATCCAGAATAATACTTCAAGACTTTAATAGTTTCAAGTAGTTCTGAGTATAAGCTTTGTCTTGTTCCAGTCACTGTGATCGCTGCATACTAGTTTCTATGAAAGCTTAAATCAAGTCACTAGAAATCGGGATTTCCTAGAAGTGAGAGAAAGACCTCTTGTTAATCCTACTTGTCGTGTCATCTGTTAAGGGACATGACAAGAATTCTTTTTATTACCTTAATTTCTTTCTATATATATCATTTTGTAAAAATAAATTTTTGTGACACGGCCTAGTTGATTTTTATCCTGGGGGTTGTCCATCTGAAATGATGACAACCAGTGGTGTCTGTCAGGGGTGCTCACTGTTCCCATTCCTGTTTAATTCCATCATATATATGTACTAGTGGAATTGACCCTAAATAACTCCAGCAACTCAGAGATTGACTTGTCACCAGGGGATAATCTTGTTGATTTAGAATATGAAGGTGATACAGTCCTCTTAGCTGTGAGGACGCTGATGAAGTTCAGTGTCTTCTGAACACCTTGAGCAGAAATCAAACGTTCAACATGCAATTCACTGCTGTCAAGTATAAGATGGTTCTACATGACTGGGTGACATTGACACACTCGTAGCTTAAAGATATGGAGAGTGGAGTGGATAGGTAGAGTGTGTCGACTACTTCCTGTATATGGGAAGTTGAATCAGTCCCAACGGACTGATTTGTGACGAAATCTTAGTACGGATACAGAAGGCTCGTGTGGGATTTCCCAACTTACGTCATTTTTGATGTAGATGTGATATCCCTCTGTCTATTGATGGAAGGACGTGTGTACTGCTCACCACTTTGCTCTGTCCTCTTTAATGGCCGTCTATGAGACGTGGTCGTTGAAAGTGTAAGATATGAGAAGACTAGCTGTCTTTGATCACAGGTGTCTACGTTCTATCTCCATGTTACTGTTGTTTCTCCTTCACGCTTCTGCTTATTATCCTTCCTTTGAACATGTTCTTCTCCCCTCTGTTCTGTCTTCCTTTGTGTGTTACATGGATTGTTGCAAGTTGAGCTGGTGCACTTCTGTGCGAAGTTCTATGGTGAAACCAGCCAGTCACTCATCAGTTCGCTTATCCTGTGTAGCGAGATAGTCAAGGAAGTGTAAAATTATGATGAATAAATTAGCTAAAGGAACTTACTGATATTGTATTCCAGTATATTTTGCATAGACAGTTTCAAGGTAAAAGATGAACAGTAGTTACTTATCGGTTCGTCATGTTCATATTTTTGTGTACAAATGTTTACCTGTCTGTTTCTGTTTCATTCTCTGAGTTAGCTAGTTTTGTTTTCTTATGGAGCTTTCATAGAAGAAAACATCATTGGCACTCACTTCAGAATAAAAGCTCCACGTACCCAACTCGTCGTTTCTCTAGGGTTCGCCTAGTTCGCGATGTCACCCAATGATCTCCTCATTATGTGTGTATGTGTCTAATCCATCTTTATTTTCTTCTGAATAACTTGTTGACCAATAGCTTTTTTCATTACTTCGTTCCCCAAAGTTTCTTGTTATTAATTGTTTCTGACTTTCCATCTAGTCTTCAGTGTATGGCCAGAGAAGGCAGCTAGCTTGCTCGAAATGCTTTTGTGACACTGTCGTCAAGTTTCTGACACATACACAGACGAACTGGCTGACTTGACATTGTTGTTGAAAATTCGATTATTATTGTTGTTTGTGCATAGAGTACAAACACGAGAGAACCAGGCAGGTTTTAGACCAGGAAGAGGGTGTATTGATCATATCTTCACCCTTCAACATATTCTAGAACATAGGCATTCTTACCGGCGTTCAACAATCGTTATATTTCTTGACCTAAAGCCGGAATCCGATTCTGTCCACCGAGAGGTACTCTGGCTATGCTTGGCTGTAAAAGGAATGCCGAGAAAATACATTGCACTGATCAAGGCACTCTAGTCGAACTCATACAGTCAGCCAGGTGAGGGCTTACGACGAGTTGTCATCTGAAGTGGTGACGACTAGTGGTGTGCTCAACAAATATGCAGAAGAAAATGGAAATGTATTGGGTGTATGTTAAGAAGGCCGTCAAATGACATCACGCGGAGTGCAGGCCATGGCTCAAGCGGAATCTCAATAATAAGCGACGAGTGGGTCATCTATATGCAAGGGTGACATGAAGGAGATCGTGTGGTGAGGAGGACATTAGAGATTATGACCAGTCTTGAAGCCAGCCAGATGAGAGGACAGCCGAAAATAGAAGAGAGTGGAAATGTGTTGTTGAAGCCCTATGTTCCACTTGGAACCCAATGGAATTATATATAATACCGAAATCTTGTCTGTATAATTCAATGACTGGTGCATGCATATTTACATATTTGGAAATGTACTACAAATGTCATCCTAAAGACTCATCCAACCCCAGGACTGGATGGAAAAAGTGAAAAGGTAATCAGCCCATGATGTTGGCTCCGTGGGATGAAGGATATTTCTGTCAAGTTAGTATCAGTTGGCACATCACAATTTCCTGGTTAAGATCCGAGAAGTAGCTTGAAACGGTTGCTCGAAATGTTATCAGATATGGTGAAGAATTGCAATCAATGGCGAAAATGCTGCAATCTCCTTCTTTGTCTACTTTCTGAAGGTAGTGTAAATGATCTTGACAAGTATGCTTGCTTCTGTGCTTTCTGGATGACGTCATTCATTCATTCTATCCTTATTTTCTGTATGTTATTCTTTCATTATTTCTGTATCGCACATCTTTTGGTGCTCATAATCTGTCTGTCTGTTTTCGACATAGAACTTTGCACCAATATGCGGCAGTTCAAGTCACCACACTCCCTCCATGTAGCGAACAAAGCAAGAGAAGAAAGTAGAAGAAATGCATACTAGAGACAGTAAACAGAGGTGTGAGACAAGGGAATAGTAATAACGAAGAACAATATAGTTTCACTGGAAATCATAAATCATAAGGAGTGGATCCATCTGCGCCAGCCAGCCAGCCATTGAGAACAATTCTGAGCCATATCACCAATTATCTCCAGCCGGTGACTGGTGTTTACCGTCCTGAGGACCCCAACCAGTCAGGAAGTCTACACCTTTCTACATGACTAGCTGGCTTGAACTAACTGTTGTAGATTTCATTGACTGGTGCCATGTTTTCGTTTGATCACCATGTGCTAGCTCTTTTTCAGCCCGACCCTATGTCAGTTAACATTTCCAGTCGAGGAAGGCGGTGACTAGGGATACGTAACTCATGTCCTAACCATCTCAACAGATGTAATTTCACAGCCTCGTCGATTTATTTCCCCTCCCACCTACCTAGCACTCGACTGCTGTCTAACCTCATTATTGCTCACCTTATTATGCCAATTCACACAGGAGATAGAACGCAGGCACCTATGATTAAAGACAGCTAGCTAGACTTTGCATTTCTTCCACTCTCAATGGCCACGTCTCACGGACATAAAAGAGAAGGAGGGAGCGGACTGGTGAGCAGTACACCCGCCCTTTGGTCGATAGCCAGTCGGATATCACGTCTACGCCACAGACGGCGTGAACTGGCATATGCGAAACTAACCCTCTGTATCCGTACTCAGCTGAGATTTCGTCAGAGATCAACCCGTTGGCGTTGGTTGATGGTACTTCCCAAATAAGTGATTCGGTCAACGTACTCTACCACTTCACTCCCTATTTCTAAACTAGGAGTCAGTGTAGTCCAGTCCTGTAGCCACATCATCTTACATTTGGCGGGAGCGAATCGCATGCCGAACATTCGTATATTGCAGCTGAAGGTGCTCAGAAGACTCTGCATTTCGTCAGCGTCCCCGCTTAGAAGGACTATATCGTCTGCATATTCTAAGTCGGTGAGATTATTCCCTGGTAGCAAGTCAATCCCTGAGTCTCTGAAGTGAGTTAGGGTGAAGTCCATAATATATCAAGTTTGTGTTTTAAGTGTGTTTGCAAAGTGCCTCACTCACATTTACGCTACCGAAGTGCAGTGAATTTCAGACTGATAGATGTTATTTATCTGAATTTGTTTCCAATATGTAGCCCTTTTCAAGTTTGATTATGGATTGATATCAGTTATCGAACCATTGAAAACCAACTGAGAGTATACTGGACATATCTGCTCCACCCTGGTTTGGGACTCATCAGAAGTACCCACCCAAATCCCCACAAACAATCCTCTGAAAATTCTATCCGATTTTGAGGCGGTTGTGTTCTCTGAGCTGAAAAGTTAATTTGCGAAGCTTTCATCGCCCTACTAAGCGACATCGTTCAGCTCATACTTCAATTTGAAGTGAGCTTTTATCAATCAATAGACACATCGAGATAGACAAAATTTATCAACCGATAAGAAGGAAACCTCATACACACATACAAAGGGTCAAAGTTCAAGTCAAAGAAACAATCAATCCCAATACAAGTAGAGGTGCCTAGAAGGTGTGAAAACACACAAAAACAACCGATCACGTCCAAGGTCAGATCACCAGGAGAGATGATTAATAAACTCGTGGAGAAATCTAAAAGTTCACTTCAAATTGAGGTATGCGCTGAAGAGGATGCTTAGTAGGGCAATAAAAGCTTCGCAAATAAACCACTATCCAGTTCAGAGAACACAACCACCTCAAAATCATCCACCTGAGCTACAAATCTTCTTTATCATATTCTATCTGATGCCAGCTATTGACTAGCTACAGGACAGAGTTGCTTGGAGTTCTTGTGAGAAGTCGTGATCAGTGTAGTCCACCAAGTTGCGAGTGAAGACAGATACTCGCCACGGATGATGACATTGGCTATTGGTCGCACTGAAATGACGAAGTTGGAATTCAAACGCCATTATATTGGGTCCTAGTTTGTCTGAATAGTCAGTGAAATTTTTGCCTTGTAATCGGAAGGTCCTGATCTCAAACCCCCTCTCAGTGATTCCCAAACTAGTAGTAGTACAACAACAGAAGACAAGGACTAGGTAACAGGTCGTTTATTTACGAAATCAACACATATTTATAGATTTTCGTGTACATATTATAGATTATTCTTAACAGAAAAACACAGTCATCTACTGATTGCTTGTTTCTCACTGAAAGTTAATCCAATATCTCTTTGTGGCTGTTTCTTGAGTGTCAGATCATCTATATGCTAACTGTATCTGCCTACGCAAATTCTGCTGTGATAAAAGTTGTTTAGTCAGTCTTTGTTCTAATTTTTCTCACGACCAATATTGGGGGGTTGAACATTGACGTAAATTTCTGTCTACCAATTTGGGTGGCAGCCACCTCTCACCACAGTAGGATAAAGCAGCCGTCCAATACACCCTACTGGTTTCCAGTGGTTCTCTTTAACTGATATCAATCCGTGATCAAACTTAGAACAGACCAGATCCCTACTCTTGAATTAGTGTCCTATTTACCAAAATTTTTTGTTCTTTTTATTTTACTTTCAGATCGGACATATCAATTGTCATGCAACATCTACTCCTGTAGGTGATCGAGTTGAATTAAGTGCCATTGCACAACTTTTAGGTGAATACTTAATTGACAGCGATACACCGATTGTAATCAATTCTATTAAAGGTCATATTGGTCATTGTCTGGCGGCAGCCGGTGCAATAGAAACTGTCTACGCTGCTTTATCTGTAAATAAAGGTGTAATTTGTGGAAATCTTAATCTACATTATCCTATTTCCAATGATGAACTATTGGAAGTTATACAAATGAATCGAAATTCACACACTAATTCATCTTTTGCACAAAAATGTATCAATACGTTCAATTGCGCTGCAGTACTTCCTAAACACAATGAATTCAATGTCCAATGGCCAAGTAATCCTCCTCATCATAATCATCATTGTCGTGTTGCTATGGTCAACTCGTTCGGTTTTGGTGGAACAAATGGAACGCTGATAATTTCAGAATGGAAAGAATAGTATAAAGTGTATTTTATTTTGAATAATATTTATAGTCACTGTGTGTGTATATAAAATTACCTTTTGTTACGTCTTAAGCATAGACCATTAGGTGCAAATGTATAGCAAAATATATATATATTGTATGCATTTACCTATCGTTATTTGTGTTCATTAAATAGAAGTCAATTTAATGGTTGCTGACAATATGAGTAATAAGCCACTCATCCATATCTGTTGGTGTTGATGTTGAAGGTGAGGTAGTAACTCATCGAAGAAGAAGAAGACATTGCGAAGTGGTTGCGCTATTTCATGAATTGGCAGAAGTTAGAATTCATGAACTGGCTATTGAATTGGGTCCCAGTAGCTCAATGGTCTACCAGCTCGCTAGCCTTGTAACCACCGGAAACTCCTGGGTTCGAACCCTGGCTGTGGGTGCGTAGTGATGAAGCGGAGTCCCGAACTAGGACGAAACAGCTTTCCAGTACTCCCAGGTGGTTTTTGCAATGGTTCTCTAACTGATGTCAGCTCATGATGAAGTCCTCCAACCAATAAGTGGAAAGACATAAGAAAAAGATATACCAAGTGAGATAATTACGAGGAGATAATGAAAATCAGTTCAAAGAACTTTTAGTGCCGGCGAACTGCACGTATTATTCTCTACACGATCGATGGTGCTACCTCGACTGAAAGATGAAGTACCTAGACTAGATAGCCACTTCAAATTGTATCTACTAATTCAACTGCGCTGTTTGTGGAGCGAGTTATATTGACTGCCGCTCTAGGAAGTTGATTTTTCGTGCTCACTCGAGAACATCTCCCACTATGGCTAACTAAAGGTGTAGTTAAAACCACTATCAGTTCGATATTGGACCATCTGGTGCAAACCGGCCGGCCACAAAACTAGCCAGCTAGCGTGGAAGAATCCTTCTCTATCATAATCTACCGGGTGCCTAATAAATTGCCAAAATCATCGAAGCACTGCATGCTCGAAACAGCGGAGGCTATTGCAATTCGACTGAAACAACTAGTGCTGTGTGTTCAAAAGAAGCAAGTTCAGCCACTACTACTGCCCTGGCTGGCCTTCAGTGGAGACTTTAAATTTATGAATTTGTAATGTCATCTTTCCTAAATTTTCTGACATTCAGCTTATTTTATGTTGAGCTATGCTATTGAGCTGTAATCTATCAATATTATTCATTCAATCTTATTTAAACAGCATTAATGTTGTTCATAGCACTAATTCATTCATTCACTATAATGTATATATAACTGTAGAGCCTGATGATGAAGGCGTTATCAAAAAGAGTACTCTTTGTTCAGTATCCATTCTTTAGAAAAAGGTAAGTAAAACAATGACTGTCTAACCGGAATGGTTTCAGCGTAGAACGTTGTACAGAAGTCCGAATTGCCACTGTCTGTGTATTACACAAAGGAGGACAAAAGAGAGAGAGAGAAAAGAATTTCGAACCATATCATTAATTGTCTCCAACCATTGATTCTTAAAATCCCTACCAGGTAGTGTACACCTCGCTACATGGCTATCTCAAACTGACTGTTAAATATTTCATTGGTTTAGCCACCACTGGCTCTTTTCCAACTTGATCCTATGTCAGCTAACAGTGCCTGTGGAGGTGGACAAATGCTCGGAATGCTGGAAACATGTCCCCTAGCCATTTCAATCGATTGATTTTCTCTCTCTACCTAACATTTGAAGCCTAACGTCAATATTACTCATTTCATTATAACACCTAAAATAGGAGATAGGACGTAGACACCTGTAATCAAAGACAGCTAGCCACTTTCGGTGCCCCCATGTCTCACAGTCGTAAAGGAGGATGGAGCGAACTGGTGAGCAGTACACACACACACACGTCCTTTCATTGATAATCAGCCGGATAGGACATCTAATCCAGAGATGATGCAAGTTAGGAATCGCCACACGAGCCTTCTGTATTGGTGCCGAGATTTCGTCAGAGATACGTCCATTGGAGCTGGAGCCGATTCTTAAATAAGTGAAGTGGTTAACACTCTGCACTACTTCACTCCCTGTCTAGCTTTAAGCTACGAGTGAGTCAATGGCACCCAATCATGTAGCATCATCTTATATTTGACATGCGAAGATCGCTGTTCAATGTGTTCAGGAGACTTTGCATTTTATCAGCGTCTTCACCTAAGAGGACTGCATCATTCTCATATTCTAAGTCAATAAGATTATAAAAATATCTCCTTTTTAAGTAGTTCTTGTTGATCCTCAATTGAATGATATCAAACACTTTATTCTTTTATCATAAAAAGGAGTATTCGGCAGGTTAAGGGTGGCTGTAGGCCAATTAAACTGCTCCTCATAGTGCTCTTTCCAGCGTTCGAGTCGTCTATCCTGAGAGCTAATTATGGTGCCCTTTTTCTCAGAGATTGTTTCACTTATCATTTGCCTATTACCACCTGTTTCCCTAATAAGCCTAAATAGTTGTCTGGTGTTGCCAATCGCCGATGCCTTTTCCATGTCTTTCGCTTTTGTCACCCACCACTGTTCACGGTCGTTGTTAGTTTTCGTTTGAGTATCTTTCGCTCCTCATTATAGTCGGAGCTCTGCGGAATCAGTCTTCTTGCGTCAATAAGTTCGAATGAGGCGGTCGAAATCCAATGGCTTTTACTAACTTTTGGTTTTAGCTTATTAACAGGTTTTACAGCTGTATCTACAGCTAACTATGTTGTGCCAGGCTACCTCAGGGGAAGTCCTGCTGTTGGCCTCAGAAACTCGTTTCGCTATTTCTTCCTTAAATAGGGACTCGGTGTCTCGATCTAGTTGGGGATGTAACTGTTTCGCTGCCATCAATTTCTTATGTCTGTTTAGTCGTAAGCATAAACGTGCGCGAACCAGAGCGTAATCAGAGTCTACACACGTGTTCCAGAAGGATCTACAGTCTTCTGCTGACCCTCGCCAACCATACCCTATGGCTATGTGGTCCATCTGAGTCCAGCGTTGATTTGGCGATGGAGTACTATGCTTTTTTTTTAGCCTTAAATGACGTACGGACAAACGGCCTAACAGAATATTACTTCCTCAGATGCTTATAGTAAACGAAGTTTAAATACTAAGCCTATCAAAGTGCTCATACGTTTTCCCGATGTTGATAAGCGGTTACTTATGATAACACAAACTTTTGCATTCCTCAAATCGCCGAGGAACTGAGTAAGGTCACTGAATAATTAAAAATGCTTGAAAAGTCCACTTTTTTCCATTTTTGATTATAGCTTGAAACCACACAATATTTTTGGTACAAGTATGGAATTTTCAGCATATGATATCGGTAGCCCAAATTTTGCAGGCCGACCATAGATATCAGGTGTGCGTCAGCAGGTAATCGAACCCCAGACCGCGTGTATGGTCGGCGAGAGTCCTAACCGCTGTGCTACCGACGCAGTTTGTGAGAAAACATTATTTCGTAGTATTATGTACTTGTCGCCAAATTATTGTTATGTACTGGTCGAGAGTTTAATAGTCCTGACGCAAGAAAGACGGAAATCAGAAGACCACTAGGTTTACGATGATACTTCTATTTTCCAAAACACATGGAGAATCAATGTCACACAAGCGTGTGAGAGCAAAATATATGAATGTCCGAACAAGTGTGTGAGCGAATATTCAAAGTGAACAAATCAATAGACAGTCTTAACATGATTGGCTAATTATAATGGAATATCGATCCATATATACATAGCAAATATACAGACTGTCAAACAAACACACATTTATATGGATATATACCACGTAGTTCCTCTTCAGTCTCTTTATAACTATAATAAATTGTTTGGTAGTTAGCTATTCATATGAAATAAAAGGACATTTTAACCCAGGAGAGTGGTAGACCAGGGCACGTTGTTTTCTGTACACATAATATGAGATGCATGCGATTTATCAATTGCCTACATTACCTTTTGACATCCACCTTTCGAACCCCGGCGGGTGCGTACTGATGAAGAATCCCAAACTAGGCTGACGAAATATCCTTCCAGTAGTACTCCATGCTGGTTTTCCAATGGTTCTCTAACCGATATCAGATCGTGATGAAATCCTGTAACCAGTTAAGTCAATGCTTTTACATGTTTAGAGATAGGCAGTTAAGTGGTAGAGTACGTTGACCGAATCACTTATTTGGGAAGTACCATCAACCAACACCAATGGGTTGATCTCTGACGAAATCTCAGCTGAGTAAGGATACAGAGGGCTAGTTCGGTATATGCCAGTTTACACCGTCTCTGGTGTAGACGTGATATCCGACTGGCTATCGACCAAAAGGCGGGTGTACTGCTCACCAGTCCGCTTCCTCCTTCTCTCTTATGTCCGTGAGACGTGGCCATTGAGAGTGGAAGAAATGCAAAGTCTAGCTAGCTGTCTTTGATCATAGGTGCCTGCGTTCTATCTCCCGTGTGAATTGGCATAATAAGGTGAGCAATATTGAGGTTAGACAGCAGTCGAGTGCTAGGTAGGTGGGAGGGGAAATAAATCGACGAGGCTGTGAAATTACATCTGTTGAGATGGTTAGGACATGTGTTACGTTTGCCTAGTCATCGCCTTCCTTGGCGGGAAATGTCAACTGACATAGGGTCGGGCTGGAAAAGAGCTAGCACATGGTGGTCAAACCAAAACATGGCACCAGTCAATGAAATCTAAAACAGTTAGTTCAAGCCAGCTAGTCACGTAGAAAGGTGTAGACTTCCTGACTGGTTGGGGTCCTCAGGACGGTAAACACCAGTCACCGGCTGGAGATAATTGGTGATATGGCTCAGAATTGTTCTCAATGGCTGGCTGGCTGGCGCAGATGGATCCACTCCTTATGATTTATGATTTCCAGTGAAACTATATTGTTCTTCGTTATTACTATTCCCTTGTCTCACACCTCTGTTTACTGTCTCTAGTATGCATTTCTTCTAGTTTCTTCTGTTGCTTTGTGTGCTACATGGAGGGAGTGTGGTGACTTGAACTGCCGCATATTGGTGCAAAGTTCTATGTCGAA